GGTTATTTTAGAAATAGTTCTCACCAGTGTTTTCTTTAATCAAAAAGTCTTTCTGTACTTACTTCGAAAACTGTGGCCGTAATATTCACTGGAACCCAAAGCAGCAGCAGCAGAGGGGTGACCGTGTGAGCCTGAAGGGGTCCTTGCTGTAGGATTCTGGAGCGGTAGTGGTGTTACCAACTTTGTACCACCTGGCCTGCCAAATGGGTTAGGCAAAGATTCCTCACAGCAGCTGCTGCTTGTGCTTTTCTCCCCTTCAGAAGAGAGGAATCACAGGTTGGCAAGGTTGCACAATGGACTTCGGAGCCTTCTGTTACAGCTCAGAGAACTGCCTCCCCCCCTCCCCAATAATCTGCTTGCAAAGTATTATTAAGTGGTCCCATGGATTTACCAGGGTAGCAGGTTATCGTATCACTCGAGCCATTGCAACTACTACCAGGCCTTATCTACTGTTAGCCTGCTCCTACATGGCAGGCAATGCAGTTCTGCTCAAGCCTGAATGTGTGATTTATACCGACACTGTTAACTTTGCAACTGTGACCAGGTTAGTGGAAACACAAGGTCAATTCTGTACGCTGTTCCCACAGGGCTTAGATGTTTTTAAAAGGTATTTCTCATCAACGTTTTGGTCAAAAAACCCTTTCAAAATATCCAAGAAGAATAAACAGACCAAGAACTCAGGAGCTTTTATCTCCTTCCTGGAAAAGTCTGTCTTGCTTAAAAAAAGATATGGTACAAGGCATTGGGACTGCTTGCTGTGTGGTGGCCCTCGAGTTACTGCTTCCTTGCTAGAGATCTTCAGTTTCCAGAGTTATCAAAGTATCTTTTCATCAACACAACTGATACTATGATCACAAAGTAACTGTCTTGTTGAGGTGATCATACAGGTCAAAATGTCTTTCTTCCACAGATGATTAATACTAGTTAATAGAATTGGGAAATCACTTTATAGGAATGGCATACTGGAAGCTGCTATCTTGTATCTGAAACGTTCAGACACAGCAGCCAAAACATGCATAACCAGCATTGTTTCACTCTGCAACAAAGAGGAAGTTAACACTTCACTGGCAAGTTCTCAGAGGGACATCTGCCACAATCATGTAGCCAAAGGTAGAAAAAGAACTAGCCCTGGGTCTTAACTATGGAAGGAAACTCTTCTGGGAAGCCATCACACTTCAGGGGAAAGGCCTAAGTTGTTCCATTCATCCTCTCCCAGACACACACTTTGCAACTAACACTTCTCACCTTCAGTGAATCTCAACATATAAACTTTATATAGAGCACATGCCATATATAAGTTTACCCTGTATTTCCTCAATAACAACTATATTAATAATATATATTAATAATAACTGTTTTGCAAAGTTCTGGGGAAAAAAAAAGCATAAATTTAGCCCTAATTTCCAGTAGTACCTGCTAGCGAAACATTAAGAGCACTAAGCGCAGCTTCCAAATCCTGCACTTGCTTTAGTAACCGTTCCCCTTTATCTGGCAGCAGCTGAATGTTCACTGTAGCCAACGTACTCTGCAAAACACAGAAGAATCCAAAAGCCGAGTGTGCTTTCTGCCAACAGAGAACAATCAGGTCAGAATAACAGGTGCAATAAATTACCTTCTTCTGCTTCAGCTGGACTACAAGGTGGTTGTGAAGAGCTTTAGGGTCTTTCACATGATGAGATGCTGCAGCTCCTGGCAAAGATGTCCCCTGTATACTCTTTCCTGATTTTTCTGAAGGAATCTCTCTTGACTGCAAACCCTCAACTGATTTTTCAGGTTTACTTTTACCTAATGAGGAGAAAACAAATTCTACATTATCACTGTCACTACCAGAGACTTCATCAGCAGGCTGTCCCAGCCCTGGCCTGACCTGTGCCTTGGGCAGCAATGCCTCTGCTCCTGCCTTGAGGGCAGCATGTTGCAATGCCAGTTGTGGCACTGCTGGACAAATCACACCTGTAGACATCAGTTTCATTTCTCCTTTCTTCCAACTACCGTATTCTTTCTCTCTGGTTTCTTTATCCCCACAGCTTTTTAAGCTTTTCTCTTGAAGCTGCTCCTCCTCTGGAGGGTTGGTGGTTCTGCTTTGCTTTCCAAGACTTGGTGGAAGGGGCTTTGATATCCCGCCTGGCTCTTTCTCCACACACTCTGAAGATTTCTTGGATTCCCTGCCACCACCATCATATTTCTCTTCCTCCAAAAGCATGTTTTTCCCTTTCAAGGTGTCAGAAAGATCAAGTTTAGGTTCAGACACTGTGCTCTCCTTAAGTTCTGGATCACTCCTGTTTCCCTTGGCCTGCTTCTTCTCAGTTTTCAGCCCTTCTAGAGGTTCTTTCTCTATGGAGAAATCAGAGGTTGACTTCTTTTCTTTATGTGACACCAGCACGCTCTCTTTCTCTGCTTTTCCTCCATTTGCTTTACTTTCCTCTCTGTTTCCTTGCTTCATTTGTTTGCAAGATGATGGTTCACAATTCTTGTGTATCACTTTGAAGGGATTCCTGTGCCCACTGGGATTGAAGAGAGCTGCTGTGCTGGGGTGGGATTCTAAGGCTTTTGACACTGTGGTAGCTTTTGGATCCTGCAATATATAAAAGTAAACGCTAACGTGCAAATTATTAAATCCTGCTAACTATACGCACAACCTAATCATCTCAAGCAAGACTTTACAAACATCTTCCTTCCTATCATGTTAACAAGATCAGGATAAACATTTTACAAGGAAAACAAAACAAAACAAAAATACTGTTTTTCTGCTTTCTTTGCCATTTCCATGTTTTGTAGAACCATTTCGTTGCCATGCTGTGTTTTGCAGGACAAAGTCTCAACAGCATCATCCTCAAGAAAAGAGGACAGCCAAAGATCAAACACGAAGGGGTTAAGACTGGAGAACACTTCACACAATTGAGGAGTAAGAGAAGTCTCATCTAGAGGACAGCAGGTGATGCACTTTTCAGCTAGAAAATACAGTCTCTTCCTCTATGTAGTCTCAGAGGTTATTACAGTATACAGAATGAAAAGTCACGCTGGAATAAGCCGATACTATAATACAGAAGAAACATTCATACCTTCCATGGGATGCTTCCACACCACTTCTTCCCATTCAACTTACTTTTAAGGCATCGGTAAAACAACCTGCTAAAGAATAAAACAAAATTTGAACTGCAGGAGCCAGTAAAGAACTGTAAGTGTTTTTTTAAAGTACTTTGCACCAAAACCATCCCAGACAAATCCTCTTGATCTGCACTTTACATTCAGACTTCTCTATAGCAAAAGCCTATAAACACTCACCAAAAGGCTTTTTACAGAAGCATTGTTCTCTGGCTTGGGACCCTAAGAATTTTTAGGGGTTTGGGTTGTTTGGTTTTTAATTTTAGCAATAAAAAAAAATCCAACAGCAAAATAGGCAAAAATATTGTCTATGCTCAGAGCCTCAGAAGTGGCCTATGATTTCAAGGTGTAATGAAACAACTGTTCCTTTAGTTACACTACCCAGGCCACCTCATCTTAAAGTACCTCAGGAACAGAAATACTTTGGAACAGGACTGCCAGTTAAATGCAAGAACTTTGTCAGAATTAAAATCGGTGAATTTGATGTAATCATCATGAATCTTGGATGAACGCAACCACACCGACACGTTCAATTCTGTTAAAAACAAACACATCTGATCACTTATACCACTGAATATAGTTGCTAAAAAAATAGCAAACATTTTGAAACATGCTAAGTGAAGGCCTCAAGGCTGGATGAGCCTATTCAATTTTAGAAGGAAACTGCAAGTCAGCCCCATCAAACAAGTCCAGATGTTCAAACCAGTACAACAAACCCTTGTTTCCACTCAGAAGAACTTACTGGTGTTCATCCGTGTCCCGAACCTGAACCAGGGTCTGCAGCTCCACCACGCAGCCCTCATGGATCAAGCACTGAGAAGGAGGAATACTGAAAAGAGGAAAAAGAAAGGAGGAAGAATAAAGACAAGAGGCACAGGGAACAGCGGCAGCAAAAAGTTACTTGGGACAAAATACTTGGAGAGTCTTCTCAAGGACTACATAACTAAGAAAGCAAGTTTGCAGTGTTAGGAAGAAATTCTTCATTATGAGGGCAATGAGGCGCTGGCACAGGTTGCCTAGAGCTGTTGCTACTCCATTCCCTGGCAGTGTTCAAGGTCATGTTGGAAGGGGCCTTGAGCACCCTGGTCTAGTGTGAGGTGGCCCTGCCCGTGGCAGGGGGTTGGAAGTAGATGTGCTTTAGGGTCCTTTCCAACACAAACCATTCTGTGCTTCGACAACTACTGACACAGCACCGAACTTCCCTCAGAGCAGAGGTGTGCTGCCGTGTCCCACCCCGTTGCACCGCCCCCCAGCAGCACAACAGGGAACAGCCCTCCCGCCCCGCCACGCTGCACTTACGGCGCCGGGAGGACGAAGCCACAGGCCGCGGGGCCCTGCGCGCCGCACACGTAGAAGCTCTTCCCCTTGTTGGGGCCATCGCGGACGCCCGTCTTCAGGAAGCAGAGGGACCCTGCAGGGCGGAGAGCTGGTCAGCCCCAGCCCCAGCCCCAGCCCCAGCCCCAGCCCCAGCCCCAGCCCCAGCCCCAGCCCCAGCCCCAGCCCCAGCCCCAGCCCCAGCCATACGGGCGCCACCCGCTGCCCCTTACCATGCTCCGCGCACGGCACAGCCTCCATCGCCAACCACAACCGCCACAATCAAATCAACCAATCAGACCCAGCCCAACCAGAGCGGGGCGGGGCAAGGGAGCGGCGGACCCAATCCTCCCTGCGCTGTGAAGTCACCAATCCCATCGCTGCCCCGCCTCCGCGCAGATCACGCTTTGGAGCGCGGCGGAAAGGGCGTGAAGAGAAAAGCGCGCTGCCATTGGGGAGCGCAGGTCGAGAGGGCGTGGCTAAGACTAAGGGGCGTGGCCTTCGCGGTGTTGTCCCCCGGGTTCCCGCTGAAGTCACGTGGAAGTAACCGCAGTATAAACACACACGGCAGGCTATGAGGCTGGAAATAGTTTTGCTTTGCTTTTGTGTCGTGTTTAAGATGGGGAATACATGTTTACAAAATGTGTGTATTTCTTACTTACTGCTTTTGTCAGTGACAATTCAAGTGTGATAGCGACTGTGGTAGTAACAGAATTAGGGAAAAGTTGTAATGCATGTACAAAAATATTAACATTTACACTAAGTAAGGGGTCAGTGATATTAACAGGGACAGCCAAATTCAGCCACGGTGTAAACCGGCACAGCTTCAGCTGAATTTGACTCAGTACCTCTGTAAAAAAACAAGCTTCTAACAAAATACTCACAACTTTGTGCTTTCGCACAAGCCTTGGCATTTTTCCTCCTAAAACACATTATTCTGGGCTACCACTGGCTTCCCCACGTGCACAGGTACTCAGATGTGCTCTTCCTACATTCAGAAATATTCAGGTTTGCTCAGCTTGTTTTGGAGCAGGCCTAGGAAATAAATGGGATGCAGGTAAAATTCTTCCAGCCACCCGATGCAAGTGCACAGATAAGGAGTACCAAGTACTTTGAGCAACAGTGACTGTAATGTTAATGACAGCAATAATGATCTCAGTGCAGGGCATTTTCAATTAAATAACGGGATTTTTTGGTTTCTTTTCTTAGATGAGTGCCCACAGGTGCCAATTTATCCAACGCACTAGAAGCGAAAAGTTCAGGAGTGAGGACCTTGCTATTATTAGTAGTTTCATTCCTGTGTTAGGCAAAGAGCCATTTTACTGGTGCTCAAGTGTTCTTGCTGTAACAGCCTGTTCTTAATCAGCAAACCATGTACTGAATTTTAAGCATGCAGCTGTATCTTACATGGCAATGTAATGGGATTCAGGCTAGTTCATAAAATCAAGCTGCTTTGTCCAGAGATGGACATAAGCTTGTGCTGAAATGTTTCCAAGTTGGGAACTCAGGCAACAGGGTGTCTATGTACAGTACGGGGGCTCTGCCTCCAGAACAGTTTGCTTCTCTGCCTCCAAGTGCATCACACACAGCCATAATTTAACAAGTGTGCATCCAGTTTTTGCCCAGATGGAAACATCCCGCCCCTGATTTCCAAACCATCTGCTGCAAAACCTCAGACACACCACTTCTGGGGAAAGGTGGAGGGGTGGGGGGGAATGGGCACAGAGCAAACAGATGGAAATCCTTGGTCCTTAAGTCTATTTGCTACTGACATCTCCAAGAAATTATCCTATTCATTTATGTCTCTCTTTGAAATAAGCAGTAGGGCAGGGCTGCAACCCTCACAAAGTAAGGAAGGGGCTACCCCAAGAAGGCACAGAAACATTCCTCAAGCTAGGCATCCTTGTATGATCCACCTCATCCCTCTTTTCCTAACAAACCTTTTCACCTCTGCAGCCTGTTTATTTGCCAGCAGCTTGACTGTTGCAGTTTCCCTTCTTTGGCAAGCAGGGCTGATCAACCCTCTCACAAAGGCCTAGCAAGGTCATGTCTGTACAGTGCTCACGAACATGCAAAGTGCAATATAAGCGCCAAATGTTCCTATTTTAGAGATTCATGAATATTCCAAGAAATAGATGCACTGAAGTACCTATAGCTTAAACACTACATTCCCTCACGATTGAAAAAAAAAAAAAAACAAAAAAAACAAAACACAAAGCAAAAAACCCTCCTAGAACTTCTGTCTCTGGAAAAGATGAATGCTGGATATGAAGTGGTAATACATTATTTGTATTCTTTCAAGCTTATCACAGCCATAGAGTGCCCTTTTAGTAAAAGCAAAACCAGAGAAGTGAAGTTCTCAGGGAAACTAAGAACTCTGCATTGATGATTTCCTTAAATACCATCTCTGCGGTATTTCTAGCACAAGTCTGCTCCCACCTACTACATCTAAAGCAGCTGCTGTCACATAAGGCAGAAGCAACACATAGTACACTTTCAGATCTAGTGTTCTGATGAACAGCCAGAGATATGCGCTAGCAAGGGTAAGAAACACCGTAACTTGCATGAGCTCTCTGAAAAGTTCAGGTTTGGCCCTTAATAAAGGCCATGCTGCTCATTTGGGAGTCTGTGACAGTAAGGCATAGTATCCAATGAACAAGCTCCCTATCAGAGCACTACAGCTATCGAATATAAACTGATTACCTTGGGGTACAGAAAAGGATCTATGTAATAATGAATTAAGCACTGCACATACATTTCCATTTTTCATTCCTAAAGCTTTGGCCGATAATGGACCCAAGATTCAACAGACTAATGATCTGGTCGATAAAATCAAACTCTGCATTCCTACACACTGCGTGATACATTTAAGACATGGCACAAGAGTCAATAGCACCCTAAACAGTAAACAAACACTGCTGTAAAATGCTGATGCAAGTACCAGAATTTTTCAAGTGTTGAGAAAACACTGAAAACATCCTGAGAAGATACCCTGGTTCTGTTGAAACACCAACAGCTGTTGTAGGTCCCGCTTAGTGGTTTCTTTCAGGTTTCATATGCCAGTGCTCCTGTCAAATAGTCCCTTCATCGATGCTCTGCAACTTAAGTCTCTGGCTAGCATGGGGCCTGACGCCACGCCGTGTGTTCACAGTGCTTCCTGGCAGAGTCCGGGCAGGGAACAGAGCTCCTGGTAAAGCATCTTCCCCAAACAAGCTGATCTTCACATCAGCTTCAATAGCTCTTGCTAAACTGGATGCGTAACTGTCCAGGGATTTATGGACTTCAGCTTTTACATGAAGAACAGAATTCTTTGCAGATTCTGGGGGAAAAAAAAAAAAAACAAGCAAACAATATATCAGAAAACAAAGAGGATCAACATGGCTGTGCAATTGCTTGAAGACTATTAATCCTTTTGTCAAAGTATCATCACGCCCTCTGAAAATACTTTACATGTACAATACTTTACGTATGATTCCAGCAACTTTGCTAGCACAGAATCAAGTAAGTTAACTGAACATAAGTGAATTGGTTCATCTTATTTTAGCCCAGATCTGCTGAGAAACACACTCAAAAGTAAGTGAAGTAAAAAAAATGTAAATGAAAGTGGAATTATATTGAGACCATTTAAAGTCTGTAGATGGAAGAATTTCAAGTCTGTGAATGACAAAGTTCAGAGAAGGCAACAAATGAGAAACATCTGGATAATGGAATCAAAGTATGAGGACAAGAAAATGTATTCCTTGGGAAATGCAGAACCAGATGCAACAAACACCAGATGAGTGGAGTTGCAGAGAAGATTCTGCTGTGCAACATAAATGATACGTATGCAGGGAATGCCAGCTTCTAACTTTTGTCCTTGTCGCTTCTTGAGAACTGGAAGAGACTAATCTTACTTTCTGTTGTACCTGCATGAATGGTCAGGTCTGCCACGTAAACAGTGGTCAGATGTAATTAAAAGTTTCTGGGAGGCTTCCTGAGCACATTATATAGTTGATAATGAGCATTTCCATACTTACCCCTAAACCCACCTTTAATTTGCTCTACTTCATCTTCAAACGTCACTGAACTCCTCCTTCGAGGAGGACAGACACAGTGTGAGGCTTGAGTGCTATCTGAGCTATAATCTTCAAGAAGCATTGTCTCTGTTCCTGAAACAAAGCAAGAGTTCTCAAGCAAGACAGAGTAATGCTGGGATACAATATTTATGTGGTGGCAAAAACCTTCCTGTTAATAGCAGCTCCTTCAAAAGATGTCGAAACCCAGCATTTGTGAGTAAATTTCAGCTTGAAATAAACACTGCACAAAAAAAGAATGAGGTCACTCGAACTACTTGGAAATCTTTTATCATTAGCTATCTAAAACCTCAAGCAGTTCCTCTAAATGTTCAGCTGAAGAGCTTATAATGTCAATAGGACAGCCAACAAAGGTGCAACCTTACCTTCAGAAAATGAAAGATAAAGATGAGGGCAACTTCCCCCTGATGAAGACAAGAGACTAACACTGGCTACCTGTGAGGCAAACAACCATAGCTGCCAAATGTCAGGCTTGTCATCAGACCTGGATGGAAATCTGAATGGGAGAATTTTTCTGTTCAATTCAGTCTGTATCTAAAAGCCTGTTTTTACTTTCCTGAAGTATATTTTAATGGGGAAAAAAATCTCTTGCTGGTTGGAAATGATTTTTGTCTGATGAGTTGTCTTTTTTTTCCAGTTGAGGAGTTTTTTGGCTTTTTTAATGTCATCACCCTACATTTGTTTTGCACCTTTCCAATATAAAATAGCATTTACAAGTACAAGGAAATTAATCTTGCCATCTCTGCAATGCTTCTACACAAAGGGCAAGACTGCAGCTCAGACTTCCCTTGCAATGCTGGTCTCTGCTGTGTACAGGAGAAGCGAAACAAGCACTATGGGGAGATGCCAGGACAGTGCTGGGTGAGCAGTCCTCAGGGAAGTCCATTTACTCCTCTGATGTGACAACAGGCCTAGGACAAAAAGCCTTCACAACTTTTAGAACTCTTCCAGAAGGTGGCTTCCCATCTCTCTTCACCCACTTGACTGCTTTTGATCCCCAAACGTATTTTTTGCACAAAGGAGGTGTTCCAGCACCCATAGTACAGACAGTGAAAGACATAACTGGGGGTGTACCTCTAGACAACATACTGCTCCATAAGCCTGCTCTTTGCTGACAATTCACTGCGATATAGCAAAGCGATAAACTCTAGTGTTATGTCACTTCTACCTCCAGCAAACAAAAATGAGCTGCTGCCCTAATACACAATCCCAGATAAGCTAACAGCCTCCTCTGCTGTTCTGTGGATCAGCTGGATTTAAGGCTATCTCTTGAAAACAGCAGACTCTTACAGATCTTCAAGGGTACCGGATCCTCCTTAGCAATATTGTGTGCACTGGAAGGGTGGCACTAGGAAGAAAGATACTTTTTCTCATGGAACAGATTTTTAGTGCGTTTTTTTTTCAAATGCACTACTTGAGTACACTTTTTTCAAATGAGGGTAGTGAAGAAACTAGCCTCTTGTTCTTACAGGGTGGATCATTGTCCTTTGAGTAATAGAACTTAAGGCAGCATTTACAGCAATTAAAACTTGGGTCTCACATCACATTTTGTGTATAGCTGGGACTACTTGGATTCTTGTCCTCTCCTACTACTTCATCTCTTTTTCACAACATGAAAAGCTCAGCTTAAGTTTACCAGAGCAGATGAAGACACAGGCCACGGGATCAGGTACTGCAGCAGGCAGCACTGAAGAGGGACTAAGATTTCTTTCTGCTCTTTAGTTCCTCACAGTATAGGCATCCAGTGAAACAGTATTTCACAATGGATCACTGCATTGACAATCCCTGGCTCTGGAATGTAGTTGCACTTCTAACAGCACTCAGTGTGTATTTAGTTTGCTCATTTGTTTAAACTGTTCAGTACCATTCCTCAAAAGATGATAACACAACATCCTCTTAACTGAGACAGGTTTACCAGGATGCTATTCTCCTTTATATACATCTGCAGAATACCTACAATAGGCATAAAACTACCAATGTAGAACAACTACCAAAATAAATCCCAGCTCCATAAACTTCCTTTACAAAAGTAAGAAACAAACCTCTAGCACCAAGCAAATGTTAGATAGTCACCCTCTGGTGTCTCTAGAGCAGTGCAGTTAAGGAGAGGTAGCTGATTTAACTACCAGAAAAATCTAGCTACAGTTCTGGATAGAAAATTACCAGCAGAACTTTCCCCTTTAGCAAACCACCTTCAGTTGAGAGTTCTTAAGTAGTAACAAAATCATAAGCTGACATCACCCAACGTGTTTATGTTTACACTGCAGGATGACCAAGACATGGTCTCTCACAAACTAAGAAACAGAGAAGCACATTCTCTACAGCACTTTGTTGCTCTGTTCCCCATGGGTACAGGGAAAGTCCCTGAAGAACAATCAAAACTAAAGGAGAAGAGCATGAAAACAGCAGTCCTGCTCCCAAGACACATTATCAAGAAGGGTCATCATTCCTTAAACTAAACAGTATTTTGCAAGTAAATATATCGAGAGCAAGGAAGGAAAAAAGCAACTGCAGCAGTTTTGTTGTAACAGCTGGAACAGATGCTTCATGTCATCCATCCACCAAGAGACATCTGTGTGTTTAAATACAGACTGTCCTAGAGAGTTCTGCCAAGATACAAGTGCAGTCTTCTGCTCCAGAGAGCAAGACACTTTTAGTTACCTGAATCCTGTGAGCAGCTGAAACCTGTGTCTCCTGTGCTGCTGCTGTTTCCTAATGGCCGCCCACCTGCCATGAGGGCAGTGAGATGAGGAGATAGCCCCAAATCTGTAAGAGAGACTTGTTCTTGTTATACAGTGAATGTTTAAGGTGTCTGCTGTAGTAAAAACCTCTTCTAGTAATGCCCTCTCTACTGCCTTATTTGTTATATCACATAAAACTTACCTTGCTCATCCAGAGTGCACAGCATCTGGATTTCCCAACTCAGAAATCCAGTCAGCAGCTTTCAAGTATCCTTGTAGTCTTCTCATATGGCAAGTCTCCTTTTCTACATGCACGATCTCCCACCAGCTCCTTTTGCAGTCACATGTTTTATCAGCCAGACAGGCTGAACAGGGAGCATATGCACTTAGAGAGATGAGGATATTTACCATACACCTTCTAGACAGAGAATAACCTGGCAGCCATCATCAGCTGTGACAGGCCATTAGAGTGGCAGGAAGCTCATGAGCAAAGCCAGGGCACTGAGATGCCTGACTTCTTTCAAATCCCCAAAACAAAAAGGGAGGAGATTCCGCAGTGGTGCTGTCTTTGGATCCCACTTCAAGATTTTGTTGTGGGTTGTTTGGTTTGTTTTTTTACCCTATCAGCTTTCAGCTAACACACCTGATAAACTTGAAGCTGTCAACTTCTTATTGCTTGGAAAAAGAAAGAAATTTCCAATTTTTAAACACCACCACCCCTCCCCACCCCAGTTCCCAATGTATTCATCCATAGCATCTCCTGGATACAGATTTGCCAAAGCACCTGCAGCTTGTGATGTGGTTGCAGCTGCAAAGCTCTTTCATTTAGATGGGAGCCTCTCCCAGGATGCAGAAAAGACAACAGAGCCTTGGTGCTCTCCTCTTCCTTCTGTATTTTAGATCTTCCTTCCCAATTAAGTAACTTCAGTTCCTGCTTCTGCACGAAATGTCCCAAAGGACATTTCGTGCAGAAGCATGAGGATGTCCTATTTTTGGAAGCTCCTGAACAGGACCATGGAAATGATTAAAAAATCAGAATGCTGTTGCATTGCTATTTTAAAAACAGTAAACTGACCAACTGAAGCTCTCAGCCTCTAGCTTGGGTAGACATCAAATAGTTTTACTCTTTTACATAGTTTTACTTTGTTTATGATCTTTTCTTCACAACCATTAAGCCTAAAAACTGAATTTACAGAAATAGTTGCACCAGTGAAACTGTAGTAGATCTCAAACAGTTGTAGCATAATGCCAGGAACTGAACAACAAGTGCTGCAAAATATGTTATTGTAGTGCTCAAATCTGAGTAACACAAAATGATAGACATATGAGAAGAAACGCTTGAGAAGAAAATAAACTGGTTTTATCACCACTATGTTTTCTCTGGCAGAGAAAACTTTAGTAGGAGAAAGAGGTTATTTCCCACAGAAAAAGAGAAATTCTCCTTTCAAGTGTCCGCAACAACCTGAACAAAAGACTGCTGAAACCTCCAGAAACATCCCACTGTTTACAGAGCCCAGAAACATGCCAGGCACACACAGACATTAAGTCTTATTCTTACTCGTATTAAGGAAGAGTGTCTTTTGTGGCCATGCATCTTACCTGTGATCCCGTTGGAAATGCACACGCAGACATTAAGTCTTATTCTTACTGCTATTAAGGAAGAGTGTCTTTTGTGGCCATGCATCTTACCTGTGATCCTGTTGGAAATGCTGAATAACCTTGATGTTCTGTGCCGCTGAACAAAGGTCTCACGATAATACCGATCCCCAAAACACATTCCTAGTAGTTCTTTGCGTACTGTTTTGTTCCACAGTCCATAAATTAGAGGATGGCAAATGGCACTGGAAAAGGACAACCATGTAGCTAATGTCTCCAAGGCAGGGGAAATACTATTCTTTCCCCAAAGTGCTTCTGATGTAATTACTACCATGTAAGGCCCCCATGTAATCACAAAAGCACCGATGACAACCAAGATGGTTATGAAAGCTTTGCATTGGTTGGCTGAGTAGACAACCCCTTGGAAAGTATTCCTTCTGCTGCCTGAAGAGGATGTGGAAGTGTTGGAGTTCTTCCTCCCATTCCTCTGGGAGTCCTCCTCCACAATGATGACACTACCACAGTGGATTTTGCGGGCCTTAATCCTTGCCACTCGGAATATGAATCCATAGCAGATCATCATGACCATGAAAGGCAGCAACGCGCACCAGATCTGCCAGAAGGCAGTGTATCCAGCCTCTTTATGCCAGGCTGCCACACACATCCACTTGAACTGGTCAAACTCCAAAGATGACCAACCGAAAAGTGGAGGGAGGCAGCCAATAAGGGAATGTAGCCACACATACACAAGAGCTACCACTGCTCTGTTGCCTGTTATCTTCATTGGGTAAATCATTGGGTACAGGACAGCATAGTACCTGATGGACAAGAAAAGAAAGAGTCAATGGAAGCACAAAAGATGTACAATAAAAAAAGGACATATTTTAATGATGTTGATATCTAGCTCTCCTTTCTCCAAACCCTGAAGTGAGTTCAGGGAGCCTGTTTAAAAAAATAATTACATGCAAAAATACATATCATTGCAGTCAAGACTGTAAAACTTGGCTGAAGGCACACATGAAGCTATTAAATCTGTCCCTACATGTGAGTGCATGAGGGTATAATCTGGACTTTTAAAGTCATTATTTCTTGTTTCTCAAGTAGTATGTTATTATACAATCAATAGCTTTAAAAACCTCTAAAGGCATGTGTGCATTTTGCATTATTGATGACACCACTTTCTTCTGTTCTACATCAAAATTTCCCAAGGGGCTGAAGGAAAAAGGACTCCACAGCAGTACGCAGCATTATCCACTGATATGAACACCCTATGGAATGATGAGGCAACTCGTTACAATTCATCAGAAAAGGAGTGCTTACCGGTCTACAGCTATGAGTCCAAGAGTAAGCATGCTGGCTGAGCTGATCAGCATGTAGAGCAGTGCTGAGAAATTGCACCAAACAACTCCGAAGATCCATTCTCGCCTGATGGAGCTGGTGACAACAAAAGGTAGCACCAGTACAGAGAGCAGAAAGTTGGAGAGGGTCAGGCTGAATACAAACTTGTTGCTCAACGTGAGAAGGTAAGACTTCCGATACAGGGTGATGACAATCACCAGGTTGCCCAAGCAGATGAAAATAGCAATGACGATTATAGCAATGGACTCGGTGACTCTGACTGCCCCGTCTTCCTGCGAGGTGAGATTCCTCAGGCCCTTCACATTGCTGAGGGAAGAATTGCTGCTCATGGTCAGAGTATGCAGAGTTGGATCAGCCAAGACATGCTGAGCAGCTAGAAGCAGCACAACGCTCAGAAACATTCAGTCAAGACTTCTTCAAATTCTCTCCAAAGACTGGAGGCCCTTTTGCCTGTGTTAATTAAATTTACCTGTAGAATGCAGGAAACCATTTTAGATGGGAAAGTGAAGGGGAAGAAAATTGCTTATGGGTATACCAAAGAGGTCAGTGACAGTACCAAGCCTAGAACATGGAAGAAGCTGTCTGAAAGACAAGAAGTGGGGGGACAAAGAAGAAAATCAGCACATTTTACTTTAAAATTTTCCAAGTATCTTACTTGTTTCTAAACCATACTTACTAGTTGTGCATCTCATTCAGTCCCTTCATCTCGGCTGTGAAGAAACAGGAATGACACTGTCAGTCTTTGATTTGCACTTTAAAATAAGTAACTTTTGTTTGGTTGGGTTTTGTTTTGTTTGTGGTTTGTTTGTGTTTTTTTTAATTCTGCCTGTTTATCCTGCTTGTTACCTTGTATATTGCCTATGCAGCATTTCCTGGTGGTCTGTGGATACTCAGCTAATCATATCCTGCTGACTCTTTCTTAACAGTTGCTATATAACATTCAAAGACTCAGGGACCATTGTACGCACTCTCCTAACATCACTTCTCCATGTTTATAATCACCTTAGCTACAGTGGTGATTCTGTTTTACTGACAGTACCAAAGGACTGGGGAAACTGCTTTTCTGTACATGAAGACATTTTTCTGTACATATTCTTTACAATGAGAGTGGTGAAATACTGGCACAGGCTGCCCAGAGAGGTGGTGGGTGCACCACCCCTGGAGACATTCAAGGCCAGGCTGGATGTGGCTCTGGGCAACCTGATCTAGTTGAGAATGTCCCTGCTCATTGCAGGGGGTTGGAGTACATGACTTTGGAAGTCCTTTCCAGCCCAGACTATTCTATGATTCTATGAAGCTCAAAAGACACTTCCTCGCATTAGGCTGCAGTCCACTTCTTGAGACAACCTTTAACCTCCGACTTCTCAGTGCTAATATCCACCCCACCGATTCACAGCCTCCATTTGTGACCCTTCGTTTTTTCTCCCAGTTCCTCAGCAGCCCTCTCCCTGCTGCCTCCAACTCCTACCTACTTCATTCAATCCTTCCCCCACCTGCAGGCCAGCATACTGAAGAAAAAGCACCACCAAAACCCCAACAGATATGCAAACCCTAAAACTGGAGAGTTCACCAATTAATGTGAAGTTGGTATTAGCATTCTTTTTGGAAACTAGAGACTTGGGGAAAGGTATCTCAGCTAACTCTGTGCCAATCCATAGCTCCCAAAAGGCCAGGAGTACTCACAGAAACGCTTCTGTCTGCGCGGCTGCCGTGGCCTTAGCCGGCAGTGTCAGGCGGGAGAGCCACGTTTTTCCCATTTTTATCTGTGCTTTCCTAAGAACATAATTAAAGACATTACTGGCCCTTGCTTTGTAAATCGTAACCTAGCTCTTCTCTAGTGAAGCTCTCTGCCAACTCTTGCAAAAGTGCTTTTCCTCACGTTTCTCCCCAGACGTGCCCGCACACCTCTGTGAGCCTTCCGAGAGCTTTCTGACGAGTGCAGGTTTTGGAAAGGCGGCTACCCCCTGAGAAGCTAAGGCCGCTGCCTGCACCAGCGCCCGCCGGGCCATCTGAGGCTTCCCGTCCCCTCACGGCCCTGCTGCACCCTCAGGGTAGAAGGTAGCCTCCGGGAGAGGAGAGGGCAGGGCAGGGCAGCATCTCATCCTGTCCCATCTCATCCCACCCCTGCCCGGCTGCTTGCAGCGCGACCAGGCGTGCCGGCATACACAAAGCCGGCCGTGTCGATGGGGAGGACGGGGGTCGCCATTTTGCCCCCCAGTAGCCAACAAAGGGCGAGGGCAGGGTCCTCCGCTCCGAGCATCCATCGTTTCCCCCTACCCCCCATCCCGGCGGCCCGCCGCTCCCACCACCCCTACCGCCCGCCCCGCCACGGCCGCCGGTGCTAGCACCGCACTCACCGCCCGCCGCCAGTACTCGGGATTACAGCGTCCCGGACCTCTCACCACCGCCAGAGAGGCCCCGAGCCGCAGTCCACCCGTCCCCGCCCGCCGCGGCCATCGCCATACCCCCTCCCAGCCGGCCCGGCCCGGCCCACCCTACCGTGTCCTCCCGCCGCGACCCCTCCCCTCCATCACCGCCCGCCATTTTCTCTGTGGTCGCTGCTGCCACCACCACCACGAACTGGTTTGCGGCTTCTTAAACAAAAGACGGAGAGTCTAGTTTGGAAAGTCCCAAATTGGCAGCAGTTTCTGGCGATCCAGATGGGACCCTGAACTCGGACTGGATCTCGCTCGGGAAACCATCGCAGCCGAAGGGGGATTCCCTACACGGACTCCAGCACCCGCCGGTGGGATTACCCGGGGACTCCACGGGCGAACCCCCGGTTGTGGTGAGTTTTTGAGCAGTGTCCTATACAGAGACATTTTTAGTGTTGTTTCGGTTTTGATCTCTCTCCCCGAGTAACTCCTATCAGAAAAGACGGATCGGAGGGGTAAAAGGTACCTTAAAGTGTTCCCATGCAGGATTAAGGTGACGACCGGTCACTTGGAATTTGGGTTTTTGACATATTCCTAGGAATTGGTTTGCTTATTTCGGAATTGTCTTCGTTATGTTGGTAAAATGAATTGTTTTGGATTCTCCGGTAAAGGGTGTTTTGCTGCTGCGCTATTTCATGAATTCATAGAATGGTTTGAGTTGAAGGGAACCTAATAGCTCATCTAGTTCCAACCCCTTGCTACAGGCAGGGACACCTGCCACTAGACCAGGTTGCTCAAAGCCCCATTCAACCTGGCCTTGAACACTGCCAGGGATGGGGCAGCCACAGCTTCTGAGGGCAATCTGTCCCAGTGCCTCACCACCCTTATAGTGGAGAATTTCTTCCTAATGTCTGATCTAAGCCTACCTTCTTTCAGTTTAAAGTCACCTTGTCCTGTAGTTACCTGCCCTTGTAAAAAGCCTCTCCAGCTCTCTTGTGGCCCCCCTTTAGGCACTGGAAGCTGCTCTAAGGTCTCCCTGGAGCCTTCTCTTCTCCAGGCTGAACAGCCCCAACTCTCTCAGCCTGTTGTCAGAGGAGAGGTGCTCCATCTCTCTGAGCATCCTTGTGGCATCTTCAGGACTCGCTCGAGCAGGTCCACGTCCCTCTTTTGTTGGGGGCCCCAGAGCTGACCACAGTACTACAGGTGGGGTCTCACAAGAGTGAAGTAGAGGGGTAGAATTCTCTCCTTCGACCTGCTGGTCACGTTCCTTTTGATGCAGCCCAGGATACAGTTGGCTTTCTCGGCTGCCAGCACACACTGCCGGCTTATATTGAGCATTTAATTGAGACAAGGAGGCACAAAAGCACAAAATTTAATCAGTTCTAAGCAATGTTAAGTGTGATGGTTTAGTAATGGAAAATAACTGCGGTGTTTGAAGGTAGTTGACATAGTTTCAGGTCCTTAGGACCTTAGTACACAAGGTGTAAGAAAAGCAGAATAGAAAAACGACCTGGGGACTGACTAGCAGATGTCCAGGGTGGGCACAGATAAACTAACTGATAAGTAGAAGGACAGGATGATTGCTATGTTTGTGGTGTTAATAAACCCATTAAGCTGGTATACTGGGGAGTATCCAGGACTAGCTGATGTCCAGGATGGGAGCAGTTAAACTAACTGATAAGTGGATGGGCAGAATGATTGCTATGTCTGTAATGTTAATTAAGCTTGTTGGGAAAAGTAAACGACCCTTAAAGACCACCACATTTTTGTATGCATGCCGGAAACTTTCTGGAAAATGATGTAATATGCCCAGTGACCATACAAGGATGGCCTGCATGGCAGTACGGTGGCACAGGTTAGGAGGAGCTATCCCCCATTTCCCCCGGCCCCTCATAACACCTGCTTGTCAACTTGAAACTGTTAGCGAGTTTGTTCCTGGAGTTTTCTCCGAATCATCATCAGTCAACACCCCTAAGTCCTTCTCCTCAGGGCTGCTCTCAGACCGTTCTCCACCCAGCCTGTGGTTGGGATTGTCCCGACCCAGGTGTAGGACCTTGCACTTGGCCTGTTGAATTTCATGAGGCTGGCATTGGCCCACCTGTCAAGCATGTCAGGGTCCCTCTGGATGGCATTCCTTCCCTCCAGCACGTCGACCAAACCACCAAAGATCAACAAGGCCAAGTGCAAGGTCCTGCACTTGGGTCACGGCAGTCCCAGCTACAGTTGCAGGTTGGGTGGAAAAATGTTTCAGAGCAGCCCTGCAGAGAAGGACTTGGGGGTGTTGGTCGATGAGAAAATGAACATGAGCGGGCAGTGTGTGCGCTCACAGGCCAGAAAGCCAATGGTATCCTGGGCTGCATCAAAAGGAACATGAGCAGCAGGTCGAAGGAGGTGATCCTGCCCCTCTACTTTGCTCTCGTGGAAATTGACTAGCAGGTCAGACTGCTAAACAAACAGCAGAAGGACAAGTATTACTAATACTGGCAGGAAAATACTCAGTACTGGAAAATAGTCCAGAATATCAAAAAGATGAACAATTAGCTGAGTTACTGAAGGCAAAGAAAAATGAGAAAGGATGGTGGATCACTGAAGACAACAGTAATCTTAACAACCCCTCTCATAAAGGAAATGATAGATCAGGAACACAAGAGTACCCATTGGGGTGCAGAAATATTAGAAGACAATCTAAACTTGTGAGTGTTAAGAATAGGAATGGGAAGAATCCCTAAGAGTATTGTGAAGAAGTCTGAAATATGCCAGAGGAATAATCCTCAAATCCAACCGCAACCTCTTCCCAGAGGTCAAGAAAGGAAATACAGCAGGACACTATTGGGAAATAGATTTCTTCAGAATTACCATGACAAAATGTGCATTGGTATTTATTGGTTTTGGTAGATGCTTTTTGAGGATGGCTGGAAGCTTTTTGTTGTCGAACAAATCAGGCTAAAGAGGTAAGGTATTCTTAAAAGGGATTATCCCAAGATAATGGAATCCCAATAAAAATGTCACCAAATAGAGGGCCTCATTTTGTAGCTAAAATAATCAAAAAACTAGCTTAAACACTACACATAAAATGTCATCTCCATACCCCCTGGAGACCCTAGTCCAATGGAAAGGTAGAAAGAATGAATCGGTCAATTGAGAGACATACAAATAAAATGTGTCAGGAAACCAAATGAAAATGGCCAGACATACTGCTTTTGGGGATTATAAGAATAATCCCCAACAATAGAGACAAAGTAAGTACATTTGAGGTTTTATATGGGCAACCTTACCAGCTAATGAATATAAACCAGCTTCTGCCAGTATCCTGGGACAGGGGTATTTAAAGGACTATGTGATGTCTTTAGGAAAAGTGTTATTTTCTGTCAACAAGTATTTGCAATTACATGCACCATTAGGATTGGATACAGCAGTTCATTGTTTCAAACCTGATTTGGTCTGCCTGTGGATGTAGAACAATGAACCTCTAAAGGAATGTTGGAAAGGACCTTTTCAAGTCTTGTTCAACCTGCACCATGGCGAAACTGCAGGGAGTGGAATTGTGGATCTGTAAAAAGTAGTAAGATAGAATTTTACAAGTAAGCCGTTAAACTTAACTGTCAGAGCAAGATAACGAGATGGCGGTTAAGGCGGGAACTGGGTTAGTGGTTACAGTTCATAACAAGTTCAACAATGTGCAGGTTAGCAAATAAGGGGATGGGGCTTTTAAATTAGAGTAGTGGGAGATGCAAACAGGGCTGGGAGTTCACATGGGATGTTCAGGTGCCTTGGATAAGCTGTAAACCTTGGAGTACCTGACCAGTGGGAAACAGCGTTGCAGTCAGGGATAGGGAATATAAGGAAGAACTTTATAGTCACTGGGTGTGCCTTCTTATTAGGACACCCGTTTATTCAAAAATGTTTAATAAATCGCTGCTTCACTGTTGCATCTAACCTGAGTCTTTACAAGAGAAGTTTTGAAGTTTCTAACAGATCCACTACACTTGAAAGAAGGCCACAAATCCAGAGAAATGGGAAGTAACTCCACCAGAACCATTAAAAGTGAAATTCAGAGAAAGAACTTGATAGAAAAAGGCCCATGAAAATCAACAAGGTGCTTGGTGACAGCCAGCATGGCTTCACTAAGGGGAAATCCTGCCTGACCAATTTGGTCGCCTTCTATGATGGGGCTACGGAACTGGTGGACAGGGGTAGAGCAGTTGATGTCATCTACCTGGACTTGTGTAAAGTGTTTGACACTGTCCCACACGACATCCTTGTCTCTAAATTGGAGCAACATCAATTTGATGGATGGACCACTCTGTGGATAAAGAACTGGCTGGATGGCTGCACACCAAGAGTTGTGGTCAATGGCTCAATGTCCAGCTGGAGCCAGTAACGAGTGGTGTCCCTCAGGGATCGGTGTTGGGACCAGTCTTGTTCAACACCTTTATTACTGACATGGACAGTGGGATTGAGTGCACCCTCAACAAGTTTGCCGATGACACCAAGCTGTGCGGTTCGGTTGATACCCTGGAGGGAAGGAATGCCATCCAGAGTGACCTTGACATGCTTGTGAGGTGGGCTGATGCCAACTTTATGAGGTTTAACCATGACAAGTGCAAGGTCCTACACCTGGGTCGGAGCAATCCCAGGCACAGCTACAGGTTGGGCAAAGAAGAGATTCAGAGGAGCCCTGCAGAGAAGGACTTGGGGGTGCTGGTTGATGAGAAAATGAACATGAGCTGGCAGTGTGCGCTTGCAGCCCAGAAAGCCAACCGTATCCTGGGCTGCATCAAAAGGAGCATGACCAGGTCAAAGGAGGTGATCCTGCCCCTCTACTCTGCTCTTGTGAGACCTCACCTGGAGTATTGTGTGCAGTTCTGGTGTCCTCAACATAAAAAGGACATGGAACTGTTGGAACAGGTCCAGAGAAGGGCCACGAGGATGATCAGGGGACTGGAGCACCTCCCGTATGAAGACAGGCTGAGGAAGTTGTGTCTGTTCAGCCTGGAGAAGAGAAGGCTGCGTGGAGACCTCATAGCAGCCTTCCAGTATCTGAAGGGGGCCTGTAGGGATGCTGGGGAGGGACTCTTCATTAGGGACTGGAGCGATAGGACAAGGGGTAAGGGGTTAAAACTTAAACAGGGGAAGTTTAGATTGGATATAAGGAGGAAATTCTTTCCTGTTAGGGTGGTGAGGCACTGGAATAGGTTGCCCAGGGAGGTTGTGAATGCTCCATCCCTGGCAATGCTCAAGACCAGGTTGGACGAGGCCTTGGGTGAGATGGTTTAGTGTGAGGTGTCCCTGCTCATGGCAGGGGAGTTGGAACTTGATGATCTTAAGGTCCTTTCCAACTCTAACTATTCTATGATTCTATGAAAATGTCAGACTTTAATGATATGCGATTGATATTACTAATAATTCTTGATATAAATGTCAAGATAACGTGATATTGAAATTGCTGCAATCCTTTGCAAAAATGCACAATGCTAGTAGACTTATGGCTTGCCATAACCAGCACAGCATCCTGTAGGATGGGGGGTGTTAACTGTTAATTTATCTCGTCTATGCAATTTCCTCCACAATGGGTCGCAGGTAATAAAAATACCTAGGGATCAAAGAATATATTGTAGTAATAATACACATTGTTGGACAAAAATGTGTATCATTACACATTAAACTTCTAAATTATTACATTATTAAACTCCTTTTTGGAGAAGAGATTACTTGGACCATAGAAAAAAACCTACATTGCAGTGGTAACTACACTACCTACAGGAGAAAAGCTATGTTGGGATATAAACTCAACTCCTCTTATAAGAAGATGAGGACTTGTTATAGAAAATAAGACATGGGTTGCCTGTGACTACAGTAATATATCTTGGGACTAAATTTACCAAACATGGAAAATGACTGAAGAAGGGAATTGGCATTATGCTGAATTAACAGGTGTTTTGAGAGGTTAGGGAATCCAGGAGGGCAATGAAGAGTATCAGAAGCCGACCCAAATGGAATATACAAAAAGATAGAATAATGAGACTTTACTGCACAAATGTATATAACCGTTCTAATTATCCCCAAGATTTTCAGAGGATTAGGCCTTTGGCTAGAGCCATTGGGCAATGTGGTCTAGTGTGAGGCATCCCTACCCATGGCAAGGGGGTTGGAACTAGGTGATCTTGAGGTCCTTTCCAGCTTTAACTCTTCTATGATTTATGATACTATGATTACTAACTTCATGTCTGTATGGAGAAAGAGCATGATAACTCCTTATGGAATCGTCGAAAGAGATACAGTAGATGGTTGGCAACAACTACCTACTGGAACTAGGGTAGAATGGGTCCTAGAATCTCTGCAGCCCACAGTCAGTGCTTACAGAATAGATTTGCAATTAACAGCATTACTGGAGAAATGGAGGTTCTGGCAGATGCTACTAAAACCAGATTTTCGGACCTAAATCAACAGGTGCAAGCCAATTCAAAGATGACTTTGCAGAATAGACAAGCTTTAGATTTATTGTTAGCCCAAGACCATGGCCTATGTGGGTATTTACGTTTGGATCCTGACAGGTGTTGTACACATGCACCTAATGACACTGAACCCTTGCAAAAACAGTGAGAAAGAATTAAACAAGTGGCTAAAGCAAGTAGAAAAATTAATGAAAGAATAGAAACCAGTATCAGCTCTACTTCATAAATGAGGCTTATCTCTGCCAAACTGGCTCTCGAGCATAATGTAAACCTTGTTATTATAATGATTGTAAGAATCTGTATAGGAAGCATTTGGAAAGCAAGAGAAAAGAGTATATGGGAGTACTAAAATTGCATTGATACTGGATTATTCCGTTAAATTAGGCTGAGTTAACATGGTAAAAAATTTTTATGTAAAGAAGTATAAGCTGGAATATACAAGACACTCCAATATTTAAACTAGAAATCTTTAACTAAACACCACACCCTATTGTTGTTTTACAGTGATACAAAATATGGAAGTGAGACTTCCAAAGGGGGAAATAATGCTTGCAACATCTTGCAAAACAATGCTAAACCCCAAAGGACTGAACAAAACCTGTAAATGTTTGCAACATCTTACAAGAGGATGCTTGCTACAATCATAGCAATGTGATAATGTACAAAGACTTCTCTAAACAAAGAACATCCATCTTGCTTCCCTGGGAAATGAGTCAGGACTGATAAGGAGGAACATCTGTCTCCAACCCTTGGACAACAGCCTAGAAGAAAATGAGCAATAATTAGGTGGGGGAGTGGGGGGCAGCCTGACCACCAACTCAAGAAACCAATTGACTCAAGATAAAGGCAGAGCCTGCATGCCTGATCAGCACAAGAAGTGAGAGGGACCTTTAATATTCCACCACCAGTATGGGGTAGAATACTAATTAATGAACAAATTGTATAACTCTCAACCAATGAACGCCGATTTCTTTGTCAAAATGTATAAATAGCTTAAAGTTACAATCATGATTGATTTGTGCTTGATTTGTGGAGACTTCCACAGAGGACTCTGCACAGAATAAATGTCTCCTTTCCTAACTAAACTCTGTGTCTTTGTTTATAAAGCCCCACATGGGCAACAGAGCCAGCCTCTGCCTATGATGTGAGGGGAGTGAGCAGAGCCTCTGGGACATTCCAGGCCGTTGCAGAAGGCTCCTCACCACCACATGTGGTTCTGCCATGTCCCAGCTGAAGGTGGGCACTGCCTCTACCCCGGGGCACAGCTGCGGCTCCCTGGCACCACACTGTTCAGCCCTTCTTTGCTGAACATGCAGGAATCCAGTTAATACGGGGGAGAATCCATATTACACAGATCAGGTGAAGTGACTTGCCCTGGCACAGAGTGTGAGTTCGCTACAGAGCTGGTCCAATCCTAATTGCTAGGCTTCCTAGCCACCGAAATGCCATTAAAAGTAATCCAGATACAGGCTGTGGGAGTTTTCCCATACACACACCTGGAACAAGACACTGGTGAGCACCATATGAAGGGTGCATGATTAAATATCATGCTTGTGTATCCCTAATTCCCAGGTTCCCCACAGCTTGCTTCCTCCTGCACACGGAGGACAACTGCTCTGACTTAAGCTTTGCTGTGTTGATTGTTTTGTGGTTTGGAAGAGGTGGAGTATTTCACAATATGGGCATCACATCCCCATGGCTGCCACCTCACCTTGCCCTGGTCCTGTGGCAGGTCCAACAGAAGGAGCTGGACCATGTGAGTTGTACCCCTATGCCAAGAGCAGTTCTCAGGGAGTTGGACTGTCCTTTCAGTGATGCAGAAAAGCAACCCGGGTAGTAAATATGGGTAGTTCTCAACCAGTTCAACCAACGCTTTTTGACAGGATTTTAGGCTTGCCATGCCATCACATTTTGACATTTTTAAAAGACCATCTTTGAGCAGGATCCAGGGAGCTACCCGACCATCACGGAAGACTCAACGCATACATGTGCGCCTATCTGAGATGGCACAAGGCTTGTCTGTGTGTCGGTGCTGGGTGATGCTTGCTGAACCTTTGGGCATGGCCAGGGAGAACGGCTAGACACCATCCAGAGCTTCAGATTTCCCCGAGACAGCTCCTACCCTCTCTCAGCAGCAGGAGCCTTCCATAGCACACGAATGTGCTGACAGGCTCAGCTTGGTATCCCCGGGGGTGCGGGGAGGCACCAGCGCCCGCCAGCCACGCACAGGTTTTGTTCCGGCCGCTGCACTGCAGCCCGGTTCCCCGGTTCCAGAGGCTCAGATGAGCTCAGTGGCTCTTCGCGCCCAGCCGCGGGGCAGCCGAGGCCGAAGACGCCCGGAAGAGGGACGCAGCTCCCACCCGCGCTCCCACCCCGCAGCACTACAACTCCTGGAGCGCAGGGCCCCGCCGCCGCTAAGCCGAGCCGAGCCGCAGAAACCTCCCGCAAACCCCCACTGCCGCCGCACCGCTTCCGGGATACACGGGCGCCCCCGGAAGCGGAAGTTGCTGGAGGCGGTGCTTTTGGCGGCGCCGTTGCTGTTAGGAGAGTACGGGCTGCGGTAGAGGCGTGAGGCGGGGCAAGTTCTGCTGCTTATTCCGGTGTCAATTTCTCCTCGGCGGGCTCTCCCCTCGTTTCCGCCATGCATCCCGTTTTCCAGAGCAGCCGGCGTGATTTCACCTTCGGGCCGTGGAAGCTGAGCGCCGCCCGGACGCACATCATGAAGTCGGCGCAGGCCGAGAGGTGAGGCGGCTTGGGGCTGGCCGCGGCGGACGGGACGGGGCCTCCGCTGCTCGCTTCCCTCTGCAGCTTGTGCTGGGGCTCGGGAGGAGCCTCCGCTGGGCTGGGACCTCAGCCTCTGACAGTGAAGGGTCTGGGGCGCCTTGTCATCTTGTACAAGAAATAACGTTCTTCAGGCGAGGGAGACGCTGCTCAGTCCTGCAGCGTGGGTGGGGTAGTGGTTGTTAATTCGCTTTTTGTGAGGGTAATCTTGATTCTTTGGCTTGAGAAATTGAGGTGATTGGGGTTGCAGATGGTCTCCAGAATTCTGCTTTCAATGATCGTTTAATGGTTTTGGAGACCTGCCCTGCTAATTATAAGACTATTTTTCCTTAATTACTTTTTAATGGTGTTTAAGGTTCTTTGACATGTAGTCCACAGACTCATGCTATTTTGTGGTAATGGCTATTCGAAGACAGTGGTTCTCATTAAAAATGCATTATTTGCATTTTCCTTGTAGTAGTAATTTCTACTGTTGTCAAGCCACTGGAGAAAATGCTCCTGTGTCAGCAGCAAGTGCTTGAGTCAGGTTTGCTAATGGGGCACTGAGCAGTTCAGCTGTTTGATGCCATAGGTGACCTCAGTGGCAGCTGAATTTGACAGATACTTTTTGGTTTGAATTTCTGGAATACATACATAGAAATGTCATTGGTCTTGTTCAGTGTATCTTAATACATGTTGCTTTTAACTTTTGTAAGGCTGATGTGTTTGATAAAGTCCCATGTCTTGAAACAGTTTCTGTTGTTGGTTGGTTGTTTTAACTGGGTATCTGCCTTAAAATAGGTAAACCCTATGTTCCTTCATCCGTCTTCGTTTTAAGCTTTGAACTTAGGATAATCTTCTCAAACTGTTTTTGACTAATGGTCCTTTAATTTTTGCAGTTACAGGTAAAAAAACTTGAATCTTGTGATTTTAGTAATTTTTTTTTGTAATGAGGATTCAACACTCAGCTAAGCTGTACCCATGTTCTGCAGAGGGGGGGAAGTTTTTATTCAATTTTTATGGCATCTTTTTAAACACTTATTTTGTAGGATGCTGCCTCTTAAAAATGAAGGTCTTTATTAAGATCAGGAGGTTGTTAACTCTTTGCCCATGAACAAGAGCCTTGAAGCGCCAGTCTAGAAGCCAAATTGCCTACTGTACTCATCTGATCTATTCAGTTTCTTTAACTGGACCTATTTTAAAATGCATAGTCACCTCTGTAATTTTCAGAAATTACCTTTATTTTTTGAAGACCAGTGGGTTTGGGGTTTTCTTCAGAACATGCTGAAAAAGGCTGAAAGGTAAAGTTACAAAAGGCACAACACAACATGAAAGAACAGAGAATTTTGCAGAGTCCAAAAGAAGCTGTTTAGATCTTGGTACATAGCATGAGATCTCCAAAACAAATCCTCCACTTAAAATCTGAAGAGTCTAGAACTATCCAGTTGTAGTGCTTTTCGTCAGTGTCCTTTTATAATGTATTTCTCTTGGCATTTTGCATTTTTTTATTGCGTGGAGAACATGTATCTGTAAGGGTTTTATTTCTGACAAACATATCACAAAAATCCTTAGCAACCTCTGTGGAAAGGTGAAGGATTAAATGTGCCGTATAAAAGAACACCTTTCTGGGCTGGAGTTGGCCTTGGCAGGTCAAGGGGCCTACACTTGTTGGAACAGAAAACTTCATAATATTATTCTGCCTTCTTTGGGAAAGACGTAGGATCTACAAATTTGCTATTTTTGTTTGGTTAGCATAATGTTCTTTTATAGGCAGAGTTACAGAAATAACCACTTTTATTCAGGGAGGCCTCACTATCAATGTGAAAATTGCTGTTGGGACACTAGTGGGTTTTTTTTCTTGCTTCCTTACAATTAGTGTATTTCCTGGTATTCTCTTCTCTCCAGATGTCACATATTTCTTTTTGATCTTGAGAGGTAGTGGGAGGGAGGAAAAGGAGTATATGAAGCTTTTTGGTAAATAAGGTCAGTATTTACACAAAGTAGTGGTGTATGTGTACATGTGCATTTATAGTGTATATGTACACATGTATAAATAAGCATAAAGACTGATGTAAAAGAGAATGTGAAATAGGGTGCTTTGAGATTTCCTGCAGGGATAATGCTTACTTGGTTCATGAAGTCCTTTGTTCAGTTGGGTCTGTGGCTATGGCTGTGGCTTTTGTGCCTGAGGTTACAAATACTGGTGTGTATTCTCTACCAGCTTGGGAAGGTAGTAGAGCTCAGTAGCTTCTGCACTTCCCACATACTTTTCCGAGGTTGTTTTCAGCCCATTTATGTAGGCTTCTAAAGTTAGAGGTGTGAACGACTGTGTAGTGAATTTAAACTTGTTGACAATGAGTGCTCATTCCTAAAAGTTCATTTGGGGTACTTGCTGAAGTAGTTAATGGACTATCCAGAGATTTGCCACAACAGGCTGAAAGCTGCTACTTCATGCTTATCAGATTGATTTTTTTGTTTTTTGTTTTTTTTTGTTTTTGATTCCTCGTGTCTGAGACTTCTCTATGAGCCTGATGGAGAAGGAATGTTTCAGGAATACTTTTGTGGTGGAAAAGTGGTGTTGGATCAATGACTGCGATTCATGTCAGATTATTAAACGGGGAAAACAACAAAGTTTTAAAGAACCCATTGATGATGTGACTTCTAAATGATCATGGTATTGAGGTTTTCCCTGGAAGTGTTTGCTCAAGGCGAGATTGGACAGGGTTTTGAGCAACCTGGTCTAAGTGGAAGGTGGCCCTCTCCATGGCAGAGGGGTTGGAACTAGATGAACTTTAAGGTCCCTTCCAACCCAAACCATTCTTTGATTCTAAAGAATACTTTTTCCAAACCAAGGACTGCTGTCACTGAACTATAGCTGACTTGCCTCTCTTTATGGGACTTTTATTTTTCTGTGCAGACTGGCTGATGAATTACACATGCCCTCCCTGCCAGAGATGATGTTTGGAGACAATATCCTAAGGATACAGCATGATCATGGTTTTGGAATTGAGTTCAATGCAACAGATGCTTTAAAATGTGTCAATAATTGTCAAGGTATGATCAAAGTGGCTTGTGCAGAGGAGTGGCAAGAGAGCAGGTACAGTATTTTATCACCAGTGGGCAAGTACTGGTGTGTTGCATGTGAAACTGTCATGAAGTATTTAGAAGAGCAGACTGAACTCTTGAAGACCATGTTGCATTTGGTTATACCATAGATACAGTTTGTGATCACAGGAATCGCTTAGCTTTTCTTTGCCATGATCATCCCATCTGTTAAATGGGGTCAGTTCTGTTTTTCAGTTGAATCTTGGCTTTCTTAATACTGTTTCTATTTATTCAAATTCTCGGGGCCTCAAGCATTACAAGATTGTACTGTGTGGCATTTCAAAGTGCAGAATGCTGTGCATGTTCAAAATCTTAGCCTTAGGAGTATAGCAGAACAGTCACTATGCATGAGAACTAATTGCACTGCTTAGTATTTACCAAATGAGTTGCAGAGCACCTAGAAATAAAGCACAGAGAGAAGTGAAAGGTGTCATGAAAACTAAGGCAAATAATGTTAATGATTGCTGTGTGTTATCAGCAGATTTCTTTCTGCTTACTTAAAGAAAAAATGATTTTGAAATACAACTCTTTCAACAACAGTGAACCAAAATCTGACTCCTAGGACTGAGGTAGTGTTATAGCATAGGAATTCTGGTAATGGTTTTCTAATCTTGTACGGAAACAAGATGTTGTGGAAGAAGCAATACTCTACAATTAAGTCTTAACATTGTCATAGCAGCACAGACAATGCTGCTGTTCTTCTTGAAGAGTGTGGGAATTGTAGTACATGTTCTTTTCGAGGTGGTAGTTTTTTAGGAATTGTTACAAAGAATGTTGGTTTGCACTTCTTAAGGAGTGAGCCTGAGCACACTAAGGAAGTTGTCAAGCCATATGATTGGACTTACACAACAGACTACAAAGGAACACTGCTGGGAGATACTGCAACATTAAAGGTAACCATTTTCTCCTCCTTAAATGCTGATTGCAGATTGTTTCACTCAAACACAAACACTTTTTTTTTAGACTTTCATTTACCTTTCTGTAGGCATCTGTAAAATCTTTCAAGTTTCTTAGTTTCTGACTTTTAAAGTATAGTTTGGGCTTTTCATGTCTCAGCATGTTATTCTTATCAAATCATGGGTTGGTTTGGATTTTTTAAGCAATTTAGGATCATATAAAAGGGTGCTGTTGTGTCCCTTAGTGACAATTTGCTCACAGAGTAAAAATCTTCATAGCTGAAAATCTTGCTGGGTGCCCCTCTGAAGCCCTGGGGTCCTCACACACAATGGAACTATTAACTGTAATTCTTTACTACCTTTACTCTCTGTTAGTTGCCTGTTTGTCTAAGCAGATATGTAGATCTGGCTGCTTTCTTCAATGGCTTTATATTTTCTTCTGCAACAGCAAAAACATATTTAAACCTATAGGCCCTCCCTTGTCTTTACTTTAAAATAAGACTGAAGTTCCCAGTTTCTCTTTACTGTGTACAAATTGCATGCTACTAAGCACGTGCTCTGTATTAAGAGTCACAGATTACTTGATTTATTCTGAAATTAAAAGTGCAGCATAGAAAGAAATGTCATGTTGGCCTGTAGTCTTTAGTCAGTGGAAACATATGAGTGTATATGGCGATCATGAGATGAAAAATGAAGGTACTTGATTTCCATGGAGAGGGTTTATTAGAATCCTGTTCAGGGTTTGTAGTGGGCTAGAGATAGTAAATGAATGGAATCTTGTTAATAACCCAAAACTTCAAATCTTCAAATGTTTTGCGATACAGAAATTGAGTAGAATTGTTTGCAGCTGAAACCCCACTGCACCTGTACCCAGAGGAAAGTTTATTCAGAATTTTCCACTCTTGGTGTTGCTTTGATTGGTATTTTCTCTTGGAAACTTTAGGTTTAGTTTTAACTTCTTCTCTTAGAAATCTTTTATGTTTTAAGTTTAGTGCTCTAAAAGCTTTTTCCTTTCTAAAACCAATAACTGTGGGATTTATAGAATAGGACAAACTTTATGTAGTTTGACAACAAATTAACATGCTACCTGTTGTTAATCGTTTTCTTTAGGTTGTTCCTACAACAGAACACATAAATACAGAGAAATTGAAAGCCCGAGAACAAATTATGTTTTTTGAAGAAGTACTTCTGTTTGAAGATGAACTTCATGATCATGGAGTATCAAGTTTGAGTGTAAAAATAGTGAGTAGTGAGAGTTGTATCGAGACACTTGGTGACTCAGTTGGTTAACATATGCAATTCAGCCTTTTTTTTTTTTTATGCTTTTCCTTATGGGATTTAAAGTTTAAAATGCAGTTTTTTATCCACAATCTTAGAAATGTCATCTTACTGGAAATTATGTTGATTTGTCATCTCTCTGTTGGTTGCTTCAGGGAACAATCTTTTCCCTCTTTTGAGGCAGTCTGCCTTGCTGTCCAGTGACAGCTGTAGCATATCAACAGCCCAAATTTTTACTTTATTACTGAAAGCTCCTCATACTGTTTTTCACTGTGAATATCTGAAGTAGCTGAGTGCATACTTAAAGTAGAACTTTGTGAAATGCTGAATGAAACATCTTTTTTTTTTCCTTTTTTGCAGAGAGTTATGCCTTCCAGCTTTTTTGTCCTGTTGAGGTTTTTCTTGCGAGTTGATGGGGTACTTATCAGGATGAATGATACAAGGCTTTATCATGAGGTAAACCCTTCTTCTCCATCATGAGTGTTTTACAGATGCTCCTTTGTCATGTTACTTCCAGAGAAGACTTGCTGATATTCCTGTTATTTAATACTGATGTTTGGGGTATAGAGGTTACCTGAACTAAGCTTTCAAGTATATTTATTATTGTGGTGGTGCTGAAATAGCAGCCAAGGGCTGAATGCCATGGGAGCTGGCTAGGTATTGTATGAGCAGAGTAGGCTACCCCTCGTGTGCAGTTACCATTTAAATATATTTTGCAGACACAGATTAGAGAAGAAGTACAAGACGGAAAACAGGCAACAGTAAATGTGTGATACTGTTCTTATCCTTGTCTCCAAGTGCAGGTTTTTTGGCTTGTCTAACATACAACTGCAAGTTTTAACTTTAACTGTCCATGCGATATTTGAGTTCTAGTATCTCATATGTAATACAGATAATAACAGTTGTGGTTTGCGTATTCTCTCTAGCTGTATTTGTACTAATGTAGGAGTTCTAGCTGAGTAAAGATTAACAAGCATATATAGTCACAATTTTTTTTTTCCTGGATACATGCAAGAAAGGTGATTTGGGGGAAAGAAAACACTGCTGAATATCTTTCTCTGTCTTCATGAGTTTGAATGTCCGTTTCTGCTCCCAGGTGACAGTCTATGGTCAACCAAATTCAAAAGCTTACAAAATTCAGTGTATTTAATATGCTCTTTTTGCACTGATAGGTGATAATTCTGTAATTTTGCTTTTTTTCTTAGGCTGACAAGGCGTACATGTTGCGAGAGTATACCTCCAGAGAAAGCAAAATATCAAGTTTAAAGGTACTGCATTTTTTTAAATGGTTTTTGGTTGGTTTGTTTTGTGTTGGTTTTTGTTTTTTCTTCTTCTGTTCGCTTTTTAAAATTGTTTATACAGTCAGTGTAGAAAATACTGTGTAAGTCAACTGATTTCTAGGTTTGGAATTGATAGAGAAAACCACTTTCTGCTTACACAACACTTATTTTGGTGATTTCAGGGCAGATGTGCATTTGTAAATGCTCAGATCACATGACAAGATACAGGAGTGAGTTATCTTTATTACTTTTGAATTAAAATATTTGGGGGTTGTTTTTTTGTTGTTTTTTTTTTTTCATAGACCTGTTCAGCCACAAAATTGGGTAGTCCGTGTCCCACGATACTAAATTTCAGGGCTGGTTGTATGCTTGCAAGTAGTATTAGGGGTTAAGATCTGTTTGGTAATAGACGCATTCAGTTTTTCTCAAACTGAATAGCCCACCTTAAAACTCCAGTAATGGCTCAGAATAACTTGTGGCACATTTGGAGATGCAGCTGTTGATTTTTATTCCTGACCCAAGACTTGGTCTTGGGTATTCATGTTACTTTCCTTTTCCCTTTTTTATGGTGTTTTTGCTTTACCTGTAAAGTAACTAATGTGTTACTAACCTTCCGAGGGAATGTTTTTGCAAAATGGTTTCCTTTTTGTGGAAGGTGGCACTTTATCATGTCTTAACATGTGAAAAACAGGACTATACTCGGACATGAGCTTTTTGATAGTTGTGTGGGGTTTGATATATAAATCAGTGATGCAGGTTTTACTTCACCTCATATTTAAAAAATATCATCTGGGCTGTTAAATAATTTTCCCTGCCTGTTGTATTATAGAGGAAATGCATCCAGCTTTCCAGTTCACTAGATCAGCTTGCATAGGTAAAGTAAGACAGATTCCTGCTTCACTTAGGTTTGAAACAATTAAATTACCAGTATAATTCCTTGCATGTCAGGAGTAGCCAAAATACAGGTTGCATTTGAATAGCTCTGAATACACTTCTTAAAGTATGTTGTTAGAAAGTTTGGTTGTTTTGGGTTTTTTTTTGGTTTTGGTTTGGTTTTCTTTTTTTTTTTGTTGGGTTTTCTTTTTTTTTCATCAAATGTCTTGCATCTGGTGAAGTTGTCAACAGGAATCTCCAGAGAAAGATATTGATCAACTTAGTGGAACCCCCTAATTTCTTCAAATGAAATTAAAGTTCAGTGAGTTTTAGTATTTCATATAAATGTTTGACTTCATAAAATACAGGGCATGTTGAGGGGCATCAGCAGCTAAATCTGAGCAACTCCAGTTAATATATTGCGATGGCTAGAAGACATTAAACATGGGATTCCTTGTGGCCATCCTAGTCTCATCTGGAACTAGAACCTCAAAAAGACTCCGTTACATGCAAATGATAAATTTATTGTTTAAAAAAAAAATTGCAGCTGTTCATTAGTGTCTCTTGTGCTCTTATGTTCTGCTGCTTAAAAACATTAAATACCTTTCCTTAGCATGTTGACCTACACAAGGAGTAAAAGACTGTATGTACATTTGAAGTCACAAGGTAAATTTTTATAATTAATCCTGACTTCAGGTGTTTAAAACAGGTAGATTATAGATTGTCTGTAAAGTTTGGGTTTGGAATACCTTTAATTTTATTTTTTTTTCCCTCCCCTTCCTTTCACTCGTTTCATATAAAATTTTTGCTTCTTAGCATGTTCCACCTTCCCTGTTCACGGAACCTAATGAGATCTCTCAGTACCTACCTATAAAGGAGACAATCTGTGAAAAACTAGAATTCCCAGAGAAGATGGAGCCTAAGCCAGAAGCATCACTGGAAACCACATGTGTTAAGTCTAAATAAATGTGACTTTATATGGACTTGAAATAAACTGGAGGTAACATGATCATGTAACCATGCCTTGGAGGGGCAGTTTCACTACTAGTGGAATAAAGAATTCGGCTAATTTTCTATAGCCCTGAGAGAAAACATTTCAAGCAGGTTTTCCTAATGGTGTTCTTTGTTTGTTGCTGGTTTTTTTTTTTTAACCTGTATCTGGAATTAATGATAGACTGGTGGTGAGTTATCGTTTTCAGCAGTATTGGAGAAAGACTCACAATGTAAGAGTCTGAGTTCTGTTTAACTCACTGGGTGGTAGGGCAGGAGTATTGCCTGGACCCTCCACCACAAACACTTCTATGAAGATTTTATTATTGCTTCTTCAGATACTGACACTACTGGAGTCTTAAAATTGTCATTTTATTTTTATTGAGAAACCATCCACAAGGAAAGAAAAAAAAAATCGTCCCCTGAATTTATTTTGAGCTGTCAGTTCTAAACTACACATTTCACTTGACTTCCCCTACTGTAAGCTGATAACCTACTAAGTTACATTTAGACGTCTCTGATCCAGACTTTAAAATATTCATTTCATCTGAGGATAGGCTTAATGATGGGAAAAAGAAATAACTGCATTCGTCTGACACTATATAAAGGTAAAATTACCTTATTTCTGAAGCATTAACTCCAGAGCAGGAGAAAGCTGGAGGTTAACAGACATACACTGCAAAGTCTCTTCAGAAATACTGTTCATTCTAGTATTCCCTAGAATACTCTCTAGGCAGTTCTGGAGACTATTATTTGGGGCCTATATGCTGCTACAGTCATGTCCTACATTGGAAATGCATTTTACTGTATTGACCTTCTGTTGGACATACTGCATGGTGCCCATGCATGATGGTTATCCTGCCCTGACAAGTCAAATTGCTAAACTGCGGAGTGGCCTAAGGCTCAGGAAAACAGGCATTTAGTCTCTAGTCCCTAAGGGATGCTGGTGTTTGGAGATTGAGAAATGAGATCCTACATAGTCTAGAAAGGGTGCCAACATGTATTCCAGATACATCATTTTGGTTTATTTTTAAAATTCTTTAATTCCTGATACTAATAAAACTGTTCTGTGTATACTCATGGGTTTTAACACTTTGTAGATTAAACTTTAAATACTTGTATTGCTTTGGAAATCCTCAATTATGTTAATAGTTTGGCCTAAGAATGGAGGAGCTAGAGACTTGTCTAGGTTTACTGCTCACACTCAGTGAAGTGAAGCAGCAAATGGCTGTAGCAAAAAGCAGGCCTTGTGGTTGGTCGCACATAAGAATGTGTACAAGTTCTCACGGCTTGAGTTTTCTGCACTTAATGGCTTAGCAGAAAAAATCCAGCTCAAAACCTGGTATTCAACCAGGTCTTTTGAGAAATGGCTTCCACTTAGAAAAGATCCTGAATTTTTAGGAAAAAGTCTACTGCCATCTCAGTGACTGTTTTCTTAATAAAAACAAAACACTTTGTCTCACTTTTATTTGAGGCGACCAGGTCCAGTGAGCTAGCTGATCAGCAGGCTGAAAGGCAGGAACTAAAGCCAGGTTTTCTTGTGTCATGGATTTACTCAGACCACAGGGAACTTACTTCTCTGTGCCTCAGTTCCATGTATGTAAAAACAAGAATTAATAAATGCTTATCTTAATGAGGGTCTGTCAGGATTATTTTGTAAAAAGTTATTGATTTTTTTTTTTTTTTTTTTTCCCTCAATACACCTTCAGCCTTATCTTTGGAATCCTTTGGAAAGGACTATTGCAAAAAGTCTTGTGATCCGTAAGATAAAATGAGTGACAAGAACTGAAATTAAACAGTCTCTGAAAGAAACTATTATCAGATAGCCATGATGTGGCGTTTTCCAATAGGTGAGTTTATGCCACTTTGAAATAAAAGTGGGGTCCTCTGTGTTCCCCATTAGAGTCCTAAATTCTGTTGGCTTTTTTCATGTTCCTGCATTTGTTTCCTAAAGATTTTAGTGTCAGGATGAAGAAGGGGCTGCAAATGAATGCAGCATGCAAGTGATCAAAATTCATTTCGATCCGCTCCAGTGATAAAGGGATATGGGGAGAGAGCGAAAAGTAAGGGCAGAACAAATGAAGGTAATAAAGAGATACTTTACTTTTAGAGGTTAAATTATGGCACTTATTTTACTCTAAGCATGTTACTATTTTACATGCCTTAAGGGCTTATAAAAACACACTTTAAAGATGGTAGTGACTGAGAGCTGATATAGTGCTAGCATGAAGGCAACTGTATCTGCATCATTAATTAGAACTGTGATTTGGGTTCGGTCAGTGATGCTCGCATTAATCTCCTTCGGGCTGAAGTGTATGTTGGGGGGGAACCCAGAGCATCGACACCTAGCGATGAAAAGGATGCTCTGCATGTTTAGCTTACATGCTGTATTTCACCTTGTCTATATTGCATACTGAGTTGTGACCTCCCGATACAGTTGTCTTGAGTAGACTTGAATCCTGACTCTATAATTACGTGATATCCATCTACTTTGGGTGCTGTGCATTTAAGTGGAACACACATATTGGGGAACTCATAATGTTTAGGAAGTTACAATTACTACAGAGTAAAACCTGGAATGCTTTGTGACTCTGTCATACCACACAATCAAAAAGCAGCAGTATAAACTGGTGTACCACAAACTCTCGTAAAAATTTTACACAGAAAAGCACCACTTTGGATACATAATTTTGAGGGAGGGAGCGGGGTGATTCTCTAGCTATTTTATGGCAAGTTTAACATGTGGTGGTTTATATTCTTTCTTGTATGTTGCTTAATAAATGTACCAGTCATTTTACAGTTCTGGTTTTGTCTGAGCAAAATAAACTGAAATAACTACTCCTGATGCTGAATTTTGCATGCTAGTAAGGCATTGCATCCATGTGCCTTTACCTGTCATCAGGCCACTCTGGCTAGTTAGCAAAATAAAGTGAGGCTTTTTCAGAACAGGGGAAGAGTCACAATAGTGGGAGCAAAATTAAATATACATTAATATTTCTGTGAGCTTCACTATTTGCAAATAATTGGCAAAATGGGTGGGAGCAGATACAACTAGAGAAGTAGAACTGGCAGAGGTTGTCGACTTGTGTTCTGAAGTCTGGAAAACATTAGGACAGTTTAGACGTCAGCTGTTGTATGTTTGTGTTGTCCCAAAATCAGGTTCTTCACCTGGCGTGCAGAGAGATGATTAACACAGAGTTGAGGTATTACATGTTCCATTGTAAGTTGCTCTAGGTGACCTTGCCTTGGCACGGGGGTTGGACTAAGTGATCTCCAGAGGTCCCTTCCAACCCTAGTGATTCTGTGGTTTCATGTCTGCACAGAGATGGGTGCTAGGCAGTAACTGCCCAAAGCCAGCACACCCTCAGTCTGCTGCTCTTACACATTTCAAACCGTGATGGTCAGTGTTTTCTGTATAGGTAACAGTATATATCTACAATCTTCTAGGTTCTCTTGTCTCGGTTTAAGGACATGGTATATATTAATTCACTATACACGTTCCATAAGGGTCTCTTACCTCAAGAGATGTGATCTTTAGTATTCAAATAAACCAAGTTCCTTTAGGAACACAGGTACCTTCTTCTTTGCTAGGCTTTTCAAAATAACTTCTGCCTTCCTAACCTTTCCAAAGTTAGCTGTTACACTTCTGATTTACGATCCAGCTGGTTCATCTATCAGCCGCCCAACTCTCCTCAAGGTCTGTGAGTTTGCAAGGAAGCACAGGTTTTCCCTTCTGCCTGTAATTCCAAACTCAAGATTTCCAAGCTTTCACACATACAGTCCTTTACAAAATCTTAACTTCCTCATTGCCAGGTAACACTTGGAAGACTAAGAAAGCCCTGGTTCCTGGGGAAGTGGGGTGCCTACTGTCTCTAAAAACCCAAACCAAGCATATGAGTTACTATGAAGATAATCCCTCTCCAACACGTGAACCTGGGCACGGGTGCTGGACTGCTCTTTCTCAATCTCACTTGCAGTCCATGCACCTGCTCCAGGAAAGCCGTCATAGGGTGGCTGCTGTGTCTGGAGAGCACAAGACCAGCAGAGCCATTTCTACTACCATTCTCCTCAGCGTCTCTCGCCCGACCCCCGTGGTGGCGCGGCACCGTCTCCCCAACAGGCCCCGCTGCCCCGTCTGGTCTCACTGGCACTTCTCCCCTCGTAACGCCCCAGAGGCGACCGGTTTCTGCCCCTCACCACCAGGCGAGGTCTGGCCTCTCCTGCCTCACGGACTACATCCCCCGGTACCCTCTGCGCCGGCGCCGTCGGCCTTCATCTACCTGCGGCGTGCAGGTAGCGCGGTGCACGCTGGAGCTGGTAGTCCCCGAAGAGAGGAAGGGCAGAGCTGTCCGGCAGTGTGTGGGGCTGAGCTGTGCGGGCCGAGGCGGGCGGTATGGACAAGCTGAAGCGGGTGCTGAGCGGCCGAGACACGGAGGAGCCGAGCGGTCTGGCTGAGGTAATGTGCCGCGTTCCCGGCTGTGGGGGTTGGAATGTATCAAAGCTGTCAGAGACCATGGGAAGGAGGAACTACAGCGGGCAATTAAGAGTGACCCGTCCCTGACTAGTACTTGGAAGATGTTGGAACTGGCAAGGAGCAAGGACGTCGGAACTGGAAAGAGGATGTCGATAGGAAAATCAGATAGACCTTTCACCTGATGTAACCGCAAGGCAAACACAGATGTGCTTGGCTAATTGCTTGGAAGCATATAGATATCGTGTAATCTTTGCAATAAAGGATCCAGCTTGCACTCTACCTCTGGGTCCGTGACTCCATCCTCACACCCGGTACCTGCCTCCCGCCCTTCCGTGGTGTGTGGGGGAAACTGCGTGCTAAGGCCAGGGTGGTGGGAAGAGCAGGACCCGGGCCGCCCCTCAGCGCGAGTCGGTAGGATTGGTCTGTGTCGCCTCAGCCTCTCCCGGCTCAACGGGACGGAGCCGGGCGGGGACTGCCGGGAGCAGTGGCTACTCCGGAGCTGCACTTACTCTTACAATGCTGCGTGTTTTACCCCGCGAGCAGCCGCTGCCGGGAGAGGGGCCGTGGCTTCAAGAGGTTGGGTGTGAGAGAGAGTGACTCGGTCTCCCGAGCGAACCTGCGCCGTTCACGGAAGTAAAGTGGGGGAACGGGAATGTGCGCTTTGTGAGGGCAGGGAAACCGACCGCATTCCTCACTGTGAGGTTGATGAGTCACTGGCACAGGGTGCGGAGAGAAGCTATGGCTGCCGCATCCCTGGCAGTGTTCAAAGCCAGGTTGGACGGGGCTTGGAGCAGCGTGATCCAGTGGAAGGTGGCAGAGGGACGTGGAACTGGGTGAGCTTCAAAGCCTCTTCGCACCCAGACCGTTGTGTGATCCCATGAAACCTAGCGCCCATCTGTTTGTCTGGGGAATTGGCGGAATAACGAGAGTAAAAAATACCGCCGGTGTCGGGACGGGCAGCCCCGTGTCGGTACAGACCGGGAGGGGCTCCAGGTGGTGGCTCTCTGACAGGGCTGCCGCTTGGCAGCAACCCGCTTCCTACGGGCCGCCGGAGAGGGTGCTTAGAAATGGAGGCACCGTTTGAGCTGGGAAACAGTTTAGCATCTGGAGGGAATTTACAGACTTGATCTTGTATTAAACCTAATAAATAGGTTAGTAAATCTATTAGTGATAGACTCACAGAATGGTTTGAGTTGGAAAGGAGCTTAAGATCATACAGTTCCAACCCCCTGCCATGGGCAGGAACACCTCACACTAAACTATGTCACCCAAGGCTCAGTCCAGCCTGGCCTTGAACACTGCCAGGGATGGAGCATTTAACCCTTCCTTGGGCAGCCCATTCCAGTGCCTCACCACCCTTACAGTAAAGAGCTTCCTCCTTATATCTAACCTGAACTTCACCTGTTTAAGTTTAAACCCGTTACCCCTTGTCCTGTCACTACAGTCCCTAATGAAGAGTCCCTCCCCAGCATCCCTATAGGCCCCCTTCGGATACTGGAGGGCTGCTATGAGGTATCCACACAACCTTCGTTTCCCCAGGCTGAACAGCCTCAATTCTTTAGCCTGTCTTCATATGGGAGGTGCTCCACCCCCCTTATCATCATCATCCTGGATTTGCTCTCACAGCTCCATAAGTGATAACTTGCACTCTATTTTTCTTCACATTTCTAGGTTATTGACACAACTTCGTTAGGCTGGGGCACCAGAGTGAAAGGCTTCATTGCTTGTTTTGCATTAGGATGCCTTTTCTCATTCTTGGTAAGGACTTTTTGCATGATCTCTCCTGATACTGGAGTCTCAGGACCCCAAATAATTGCAGCCTTGCAGTATGCCACTGCTTGATTTTTCTGCGTCTCAGGGAAGACGTCTGACTCAGCTCCAGTTAGATGTAATGCACTAATTCTTTATAAGAACGGCAGTAAATGCAGTTTACTCTTGCATGTATATGATTCTGCAGTTTGGGTTTAAGTTTTCCTAAGACTTCTTTTATGTTGTGACATTTCTGGGATATGTTTATTTTGCAGTTTAAAAACAATATTAATTTTTCTTCCCTCTGTGTTCCTGTTTAGGGTAGTTGTCTGCTGTGGGTACCAAAGAAAGCGCTGCTGCTCTTTGCAGTGTTTTATACGCTGGGGAATATTGCATCTATTGGGAGGTAAAAATCTTCTCATTTATATTGGCTCCCTAATAAAGATGAGAAAGTATAAGCAGAATTCTAGATGAGGGTGCATAAGTGGTAGAAACCGTTGTATTTGTGTGACAATATTTGCTTATGTGGATCACTGTCTTGTTGCTGAATTTTAAAGAACAGTATTTCCCCAGTAGTCCTCTGAAATGGTAATGTTTTTTGTTATCATTATTAGCAATGCATTCAAGGTAGAAGTTACTCATCAGTAAAGAAGAATCAAACTCATACTTTGAGCATTGAAGGCTTTTTTTATTTTGTTGTTACCCCCCCACACACCCCCACCCCAAGATATAGTAACTCTTTGTCATTTTGCATTTGGTAATGTTCTGTGTGTTGTGGTGAATATATCTGGGACAGTCTGTCTGTCAGGGTAGCAGTGTTTGATAAGCCTTCATGATCATTGAGGTTCCTGAAGCAGAGCCACTCTGACTTCATGACAGCACAACTGTCTGAGAGTGAGGAAACTTGGTAAAATGTTAGAAATCACAAGGGATGGAACTGGAAATAGTATAATAATGAGGCAGAATAACACAGTATATGAGGCAGAAATAGCACCTTAGATAAAACTTTCACCTTCTATAATTCTTGCAGTATCAACTACTAGAGCTCTTACATGAGGGCTGCAGATCTGGTAAGGCATCAGAGGATGCATCCAGGCCTGAAAACAGCCCTTTATATAGAGGAATTGAGCTGGATTACTGGCAATCTGTGCAGAGCCTCTGTGGCTGGTGGTTTTGAAGAGCAAGTTAAAAAAGCATCTGTTAAGATGTTAAGAATGATCTAATTGAAGCTGACCTTGACCTATACTTCTGGCTTGGTAGTTTTGCTCTGCTTAGTTAATTGTAACTGAACAAGTGTGAATAAAATTATAGTATAAATACCTTGCACAGAGAAAAGCAGAAATAGATTTTCTCATTGTGTATCCTGTTTCCTTGCCCCATGTGACTACATACAAAATAACAAAATAACCTTCCTTAATAAGGAATCTTTCCTTATTCCACTCTTGCCTTTCTACCTCTCTGTTCATCTGGTTTTCTTTTCCACAGCACTCTTTTTCTTATGGGACCAATGAAACAACTGAAAAGAATGTTTGACCCTACACGTTTGATTGCTACTGTTGTTATGCTAGTAAGTGGCAAAGGAATCTATTTTAACTCATGCTAACTTCTAAACAATTTCCATTGTAAAGTCCTTTCACATGCATTGATCTGACATCTCAAGATGTGTTTGTGAGTGGTTTTAGTTGGTGGGGGGGTTTTGTTGTTTTTTTTCCCTTAAAACATTAAACATCCTGCACATCTACTATAGTAGAAAGGTACTCTAGCACCTGAAAACTACCTTTCTATTATGAACGACTGAGCTGAAGCCATGTTGTTATGCTGCTTAATGAGAATTATTTGTGGCTGGCATTTGTGAACCATGCATATGCTTTTGAGGGTGCTTGAGGTCACAACATCATATTTTCATGTTATTTAAAAGATGAAAGATGGGGAAACTGCTTTTTTAAATGTTGTACTATGGAAGTTGTTGGATATTCTGTTTTGTATAATTTTGCCTTTTTATATTCTACCTGATGTGCTTTAAAGAGTTGTGTAGATATTTCTACCTTGATAATTGTCATTTCCTGACAAAGCAGAGAGGGGTGCCTTGGTTATCTTGCATTAAAAATACAGAAATTGTCCCAGTTGGCTGATGGCTTCAGCTGAAGTCAGCCATTGGAATTATTTTTTTATCTTTGGAAGGTGGAAATTGTAACCAGCCTTCTACTGTGTGTGTGAAAATTGCTCCTAAGTTTCAGACTCTTGTTCAAAGTGCATGTGCTTCTTGGTCTTTTCAGCTTTCTCATTTTCTCTTGGAGAGTCTAAAAACTCGAAGGTGGTTTAAACTTGCATAAAACTGTCCTCCCATTTTCAGTGTGAATGTCTTTGGAGTTTATGCTAGGCATCATATTTTCTCTAACACCCAGAGAAGACTGCAGGCAACTGATAGAGCTTGAGAAAATGACTGTTTACTGTCAGACCAGCAGCAAGTAAGAAGCCTGCTGTGGGGAGTGTTTGTTTTGTATGCATTTAGGATGCCTGGAAAGTTGTTCACTGGGATAAAGCCAGTTGTTAGATGTATGATGTAGTATTTCAACCAATATCCAAATCACCACCTTAAAACTAATGGAAAAACTATGTTTAACGTCAGTAGTTGTGGTTGAGGTGAAGTGTATTATTTTTTGTCTGTGTGTGTGTTACTGCTTTGAATATGCAGTACTAAATCATTTTTTACTCAAACAGAAAAATGCATGTTATAATCTTTAGTAGCACAGTGGTACATGCATATTGAAAGGCTGTTAGATGTTGATGAAGGAAGATAAGTATGACCCTCTGTCACAGCTAAATGAGCTGTCATGTCTTAAATTGAAAATAAAAACTTGAACTGAAAGGATGCTTCTGTTAAAACAGAAAATAATCCAGAGTGGCCTTCTCCCCCCTAAGGTTTTAATTTAGTAAAAACACAGTACAGCCCCCCACCCCCCAACAAAAAAAAAAAGAAAAGAAGTGATTGTTTGAATGGCTGTGTTGGACTTCATATTAAGCAGGAGAGCTATGAAGCAGTAGCTGAAAGTTCTTGAAAGTATAGTGCATTTTTAATTGGTAAGAATTAACTAATGACATAACTTCAATCCCTTGGTAACCTTGAAAATCAACAGGAAATGTGGCATGTACAGAAACAGAAAGACTAGTTGTAACTGGAAAGCCTTACTTAGGCAAAACGATGCAGCATAGTTTGTAAGTGTGACACCAACAAGTGTGTGGGATGAAGCGGGGACCTGCTGATATTGCAAAAGAACTGTAGGAACCTCTTCCTCCTGTTCCTTAGCAGCAATAAAATTACTTTCTGGAGGTACCGTGCTGATATTTCCTCATTGCTTTAATTTATTTCAGAAATGTAATAGCAAGAGCATTTTAAATAAGGGGAACTTTTATGCAGGATTGGATGAAACTATGAAATTATGTAGTCTGTTTCCATCTCTGTGGAGAAACCTGTTACTGTGTTACAATATCGATAAAAACTGGAGTTGTTTCTATGTTTAATAGAAATTCTTTATTTTCTTCTAGTTGTGTCTCATACTAACACTGTGCTCTGCTTTCTGGGTGAGTACTTGAGTCCTATATGTATGTATGGCTGGAGTATATTTTAAAAACCAGATTCTTACACTGTTGTCTCTGCCATGTTTCTTCCTCCCTCCCCCCTTCTCTCCTCCTCCAGTGGCATAAGGAAGGACTTGCTCTGCTTTTCTGCATCTTACAGTTTTTTGCCTTGGCATGGTAAGTGATTTCTTCCCCATGCACTTCATTTTCTATTGCACCTGACATCAGTAGCTGAACTGAGTGGATTTTGACCTTATGTGAGTTGGGGTAAGGAGAATTTTTATCTTGCCATCCTGCTAGGTGCAAAACAGTGCATGAATGAGAAGCTGACTTGTTCCTGCTTCTTGGTCTATCGTGCCACTTCAGAGGCTTAGGAGATGCAGCTCAGGGCTCCATTTCTGGGAAAGTTCCTTAGAAAGTGTTTAATTTCTGTCAGCTTGAAGTACACCTGCTTTTTTTCTTTCACTTTTCAATCGATTTGTTGCCTACTGTCTGGTATTCCTGGTACTTTACACTCTCCTAAATTTGTCTTGTTAAAAGACTTAGATATGCCAATCAGATTAAGTGTTGGTGTTCTTTAAGTTAACATATGCTCTATGTGATGTCACAGATGTAATACAGAAGCTGATATGATCTAGTCAGCCCTTACCTGCCTGTAGGCAATGGAGCATGGAGAGTATTAGGTGCAAGAGAACTACATTTAAAATGCTTCTGCAGTATGTCCCCTGCTTTTGCCATAGTGTTTCACAATCTGGCTGGGCTAAGATGACTTGTAAGGATATGAGTTTCTGGTACTCACAAACTTGTATAATCAAAATGAAGCTTTATCTTCCAGTTACCTGTTTAGAGCGTTGGAAGAGTTGTTCTTGTTTGTGACTTTTACTAAAATCCGACATAAAGAGTAACTTTAAAAATCTTTCTTCTTAGGTACAGCATTTCCTTCATACCATATGCAAGGTAATCTTTCCTACTCCGTTACTTTTTGTTATCTTGAAGTTTAATCATGGAAGCACAAAATGGTTTGGGTTGTAAAGGACCTTAAGATCATCTACTTCCAAACCCCCTGCAATGGGCAGGAGCACCTTCCACTAGACCAGGTTGCTCAAAGCCCCATCCAACCCAGCCTTGAATTCTGATATAACAATACAGAAGATTTGTTTATAGAACTGTTGTAATGTATGGATTTAGAAGTTTTTCTATGGTGGTGTTTTAGGGGGAGGAAATGCATGTAGTTGAACCTGAAAATGAAACTGAGCATTTTCTCTAGTGGGAGGACACAAAGGTAACAAAATTAGAGGGCTTCCCATTTAAAAAATACATAAGTGTGTGACCCCACACTGAACTTAAACTTTGCCTTTGGAATGCGTAAATGTTGTCCAAAATACGATTAGATAATTGTATTCTCCTGCGTACCTTTTTTTACCCTGTTCTCCCCCATGAGGACTATTCTGTGAGCACACAGTTCTCTATCCTGCTCCATCAGCACTGCCTCAGTAGAGGTGTCACCCACATTGCAGTTGGGTGGGTGGACGGTGAGCAGACCACTTGTCTCTGATGCATTCACGTAGTCATGCAGATTATGTGAGTGAAGTTAATACATGGTCAGATGGTATTTGAAGTCCTCAGTGTCTGTGTGGTAGCAGCATGGAATGAGTCTCATCAAGCAGCATAACTGAGGTGACTCTGTTTTGTTTTGTTCCTTTCTTCTGCCTGTAGGGATGCTGTGAAGAAATGTGTTTCGGTCTGTCTGTCCTAACAGGAATACTGGATGCTTCACAAAGTTCTAGGAAGCATAGTAGAACTATGTAAAGATCACTGTGTATGTATTTTCCTACTTCTGTCTTAAATATGTGCCTTTTACCTTGTTAGAATCTCCTTGTGTTAAATCCAGTTTATGCAATTGCTTGGTTTTCTGAGCAATGGTGTCTGTAGGACAGGGTGCTAGTGGTAAAATGAAGTTCAGTCTGGCAGAAGAACTGGGCAGAGATCCAGAATTTGTTACGATAATTCTTATGTAAAATTATGTATTTGTTTGGTTTTGCAAAAGTAGTAAGTGAAGTCTGTAAAACGGAGACCTGGACTCTGATGGGACTATGCCAGTCGAGAGGATCTCTTTTTCAAGAAAACCAGTTGCCAACTCCAACTGATTTTTTATTTTTATTTTTTTTTTAATGACAATTTGTTGTTTGGGTTTTTGGTTGTTTTTTTTTTAAATAGCCTTATGTCACTCTTTGCACTGTTTGCCTTGGATAATGGAATATTGGTATTCTTTCCTTTCCTTCTCCTCCTGCAAAATTTTAGGTTTATGAGACTTCTAAAATACTTAATTCTAAATGACAAGACTGTTTTGGGAGTAAGTGTGAAATATTTGTATCTTTAAATAAGTTTTTAATTTTCAGTTTAGACTGATAATGCTTCCTTAACATACATGAAAGGGACTCTTTAATCTGTAAAAACTTTTTCCTTACAAAAAGCACATGCGAAATATGGTTAGTAGAATTTTTCATCTGCCAGGAAATCAAGTTCTTTGACTTCCCTAGAGCTAATGGCAGTATGGACAATGTAGGAAGCTGATTTTTTTCACATGAAGCAAAGTGCTTGCTTTTCTTTTCCCTCAGCTGTAACGTAGAAACAGTGCAAAGCTGAGGGCATGATAGGTAAACTGAGAGAGAATTTGTGGTAAGATTTCGTTAAATGCCCAAGAGAAGCTGGGGAATTAAAGAATACTGGTATGAATTTTCCCTCACTGGTCTACAACAAACATCTAAACTGATGTGTCTTGTTCTATCAGGTAGTAGATTCAAAACCTAATTTACATCTGTCAGAAGACCCATGTTAGCCTTTTATTGGGGCTTTAATAATGTTTACAGAATTCCTTTGTATAAGGGCAACTGAATGCAACCCTGATGCCTTTTACATTAATCTTTATTAAGTTTTAACTTCTCTGGGTGTTTCTGGAAAATGCTATGAGTAGAGCATACATTATTTCTCCTTCCCATCTCCAGGGAAATTACACTCAGATCATCATTCCAGGATCATCAGCAGTCAACATAATGGAATTTGTCCTCTGGGGTTCATTTTTTTGAATGCTTCAGGTTGTGCAGGATTGTGGCACCCCAACTCCCTATCAGTTGTCTGGAAGATTGGTAGAATTGGGTGTGCTGAAGATTAGTTTTTCAACTTGCATCCTCGCTAACTGAAACCTTTTAGCTGACTGTTGTGAGCACAACCACTTACAGGAAGGAAATTTAGGAAACTACTAGTAAGCAGTGGGTAAACTTAAATGGATTATTTCCTCCCCCCCCCCCCCCCCCCCCCCCCATCCTTTTTAAAGCTGTAATTCCAGCTCTGCAGCTTTTTTTTTCAGGAAGAGAGGAGAACAAATCTTGACTTGATTTTAGCTTCCACATGAGGCTAAGCAATTGTGCCCTTAGAAGAAGGGAACCCAAGGAGAGATGGCAAAGACATAAGGATCACTAGAGTGCCACTAGAGCTTACGTTGCCTTTTGGTGTTGTATTCTGCTCTTGTGAACGTCGGGTGGTAGGAGAGAGTCACCATGGTCTTGCCAATATGTGAAACATACTTAGGGTTTGTCGCTTCATCAACAAGCAGTTTTAATTTAAAATAACTCCTCTATCAGAACAAAACTCTTCACATTCTTACTCGCTTATAAATAATTGTGTTCAGACTATTGCCAAGTTTAGCAAAAGATTTCTCCAGTTTGTTAAAATACTTTATATGATTATTACACAATCAGGGAGTAAACTAGTATGTGAGTGCTCCCTCTTGATCAGTTTCAATCGGATTCAAATTATACCATTATACCACTTCTTTTTTTTTTTCCTCATTGAAACGACTTTGTGTTAATTTTTGATATTGTTAGCTTTGGCTATCTGCTTGACAGAGTGCATGGTGGGTGTTTCTGGAGATCTCTGGCTTTCTATCTTAATGTCCTTCAAGGCAGGAATGTTGTTGTGTGCACTCTACTGCAAATAGAGATGTTTGCGGTTTAAATCACAAAGTTCCTTGCTTCCCAAAGTCCTTGCTTAGCTGCCTTAACTCAAGGCTTACTTTCCTAAAGAAACTTTTATGATGTTGGATGCCCATCTTTTCTGCAGGATTTGGTGTTTTACCGGAAAGCACATTTTGCCCAGCCTCACTGTTGGTTAACTTGTCTATCCATTTGGTTTTTTATTTATTTTTTTTTTTGCAGTACAGATAATGTAACCTTATCCAAGCAGCTTTAGCACACCGCTCTAGCGTGAAATGTGCATATTGGGGACCAGCTGACTTTCCAGATGTAGTAGAAATAGAAATGGGGAGGGTGGTAGTCATCTGTTCCCAAAGTACTGGGATTCTATACACTGAAATGTAGGGATTTTTCATTACTTCCAAGTTTTGCTGTTTTTTGCGATGGAGTCCATTGTGAGTGTTGGTACTGTGTGAGATGGTGTGACAGTGATGGCAGCAATTTCATCTTGCTTAGTATTTACAGTAATAAGATTGCTCATGAGGAACAAAGAAATTTCTGCACTGAGTTGAAATTGTTTTAAGAAATCATGTTTCAAAACAGTGTATTAGGGTTTGTGTATGGATACTTACAAGGCAGGTTTGGAGGAGGACAGAGACTCTGCCATGGGGTGGATTCCAGCTCACTGCAGAATACAGCCTACTTGTGGGTAGACTGCAGCTGGCATGCCTTATATTTGGAGGCTTTGGCACTGTTGCTTACAGGCAGTTAGAAACTCGTGCTCTGGGACCTGCCTCATGGAGCAGTGTGGGCACTTGAAGCCCATCCCCTTGTGCTGTGTGCTAGAGATTGAAAGAGCCTCTGAGTTTCTAAGAACAGTTCCTGCTTAGTTTTGGTACTTAATCACATTAATGAAAGCAAGATCACTGTTATTGTAGATTCTCAAATCTGAGGAGGAGGATGACATTTAAACACCTTTGTCTTAAATACTGATGTTTACAACCGTACCAAATACTGACCATGTAGAGCAGAAAGCACAGAAATGGTATATTTTCTTAAAACCACATGCCTCACTGTAATGTGACAACACTAAATGTTTTTACCAGCTGTGGAATTGTTTTGTAAAATAAAAATCAAACTCTGAAATTCTCTACAAAGTTTTGTACTGTTTGTACTGATCCTGTTTGCTGTTGTGCCTTTTCTAGGTATTTACACTATTTGATTTCTACATTGATAAAAAAATCTTTTCCCTAATTTAAAATTTTCTCTGTAATGAAGTGAAAGCTTTACTTACAAGTGCTGGTTTTTTTTTTTCCCCTTCAATAAAGTTGTCATTGCATTAAATGAATTGCTCTTATGGTTAATGTGAAGTGTCTAATGATGCTGATTCTGCAGATGATACTGGAATTGCTGTGGATTGGTTTGCCGGTTGGATTCCTTGTTGTTTTCTTGGTTTTTCAGTTTGTTTTTTAAAGTGATTTTCTTGTGTAAACAGCAAAGAAAGTAAGGGGATCTCTGCAGAAGTACCACTGCAGTACGGCTGCTTCACCCAGCATGTGTCTAGCTCAACCAAATGCTTACTGGCATATCTGCATGCACATAGACAACTGGTTGGCACAACTTGAGTTGTTAAGGTGAGGATGATATTTTTATTATTTCTTTCTTATTTACCTCAAGAGTCAACCTACATGTGCCAACAAACTGTTGGCTTAGTCCATGCTACAGAGCAAATAATTATTGATGTTAGTCAGCAGAGGTAAGAGTTATAAAGCAGTGTGCCTCTTTGTGGAATAAATACACCAAATACTGATGTACAATGTAAGTAAAAAGCCAGTGAGTTATGAATGTGTTAAAAGTAAAGTTAGGTACAATGATTTTTAAAAAAAACTTTCAAAAAGCATTCCTGTTTGAGTTTATACCTGTTACGTATCCAGACACTTGCTGTGCTTGTAATATTCCTTGGCAGTGTTAACAGGGCTGTGCGTTGGGCTCTTCAGAGTACATTAAACTTTCATCTGATTGACAGGGCAAACCTGGGCAGTTGCATTTTTTTGCAAGGGCAGTGGTAAGTCTTGTGTGCTGGGGGAGACTGAAGTTTTCAGTTACTTTTTTGTTGTTCTTCTAAGCAAGCTGGAAATTTCTGTCATTGGTTGTGTTACAGCGCCTGGTCCCTGAATCCATTGATAAATATTGCAGCAGTGATGTCAAAACCACATTCAAATTCAGTGGCAAGACTTCCAGAAGACTGCTGTACTTATCTGCTCCTTTCTCTTCTCTTTCCACAAGATCTGATTTGCAAGAGAAGGTATTTCATGGATGCAAGGAGATCAAAGTTGAGGGTTGATGCTTATTACTTCTCCTTACTTGTACCTTTCCTGTTGACCTCAGTCTCAGTTGCTGTATCAGTGGGGGTACAGGCTTGTAAGTGCCCAGCCATGAAGAGCTGGAGATGCCTAAAGGGAACAAAATCCTCTTGTTTTCTCACTTTTCTTTAGAAAGCTTCTGATGAGTTAGAGATGGAATAGTGTATCTAAGATGCCAATTTTGGGGATTGATATTTTTAAGCTAGCCTGTTTGAAACCCTTTTAAGTTTTTTTTGGGATCCCTTGTGGCACCTGTAAGAGAGCTTGTTCCTGAGAGTTTATGCTTTTAAAATGTCTTCAGAAGCAAGCGTGGAGACACACTTGCATGGTGTAAAAATGGTACCTCTAAAGTATTGGCTGGCCAACTTGATCTCACAGTAGCTCTTGAAGTGCTATTACTTCCAGATATGTAGAGTTAGTTTATCATGGGCAGGTACTTCAGTGTTTTCTAGTTGTAACAGGATGTGACAGGCTTACCACTTCTGAGAGAATCAAATGCCTCAGCCCTGTTACACCTGCAATGTGT